ATACTTATCCGCGCCAATCGATGTTCGAATACTTTATATTCTACTATCGAGAACCTAGAGTAATGAACTCTACATGAAGAAATAATTGTTATTAATATTTTTTATAGTTTCCAATATACGTTTGCAGACTTCATCTTAGTTTTTTTTTTTTTTTCTTTTATATCATATATTTTAGATTGACAACAGTCCCTCCTACTGTCGGTGTGAGAATTTATTTTAAAGTTAATGTGTGATTACTCTTTTTTGTTTTTTCTATAGGGTAATTAGGACTTACAACCCTCTTTTATTTTTCCTTTAGTTGATGGCTTTTCTTACTCTCGCGACAGAGGGGTATTTAATTAGCTTTAGGACTCCTAAAAATAAAAAATTAATTTTTGCCTGTTCTCTTACAGAGGTACACGCTGGGTGCTCTATGTTTGGTACCGTGTTCCTATTTCCGGTCTTGGTTTTCGTTACCCCGTCGTTTGTTAATAGTACTCCAATTTTGCTGGCAAAAAACTTTTTCCCCACGCCTTAAAACCCCTCTTCGTAATAGACGGCTTAAACGGTGTACCCTCCGGAAGCCCCCACCCCAGGAATACCATTTTTTTCTTTGTAAAAATATCCCCAAGTGTTTTTGTATTGGGCGCCAGCTGATTTTTTTTGGGTTTGAGGGGGTCCCCCAAATGTCGGGGCTTTCCGGGGGGGTCCCCCTGGTAAAAGGCATCTTAAGCCAGGGTAAGGAAGCCTCCTGCGGGGCCCTTTTTGGGGTAAATTCCCAAAGTTTGCTCCTTGACCCCTCCGGCGGGGGGAGTTACGACAAGGGGGGGGTTTTTTTTGGACTCGTCAAAAGGGGGGGGGGGGGGGGGGGGGGGGGGAAGTTGACGGTGGCTGCGTTGGAGATGCCCTCTCCGTTGAGATTCTTGAAGGTGATCTTCTTCTGGGTGACGGACATGTTGAGTGTGTTTGTTGGGTGTGTTGATTGAGTGACTTTGGCGACCCATCCTGTTTATATATAGCCCGATCTCGCGCGAATGGGACTCGACGGTGCTGGTTGCCGATTACTACCGCGCCTGTCAGACGCTTGGTCTCTTTGTTACCGGAACTCTGATGGTCATCTCCGCCAGGAAACTGTAATAGCCGCCCCGATTTCTAATAAGTCCGTTGCTGCACGAAGAAGGCGGAAAAACGAATAATGACGGCGGAGAAGGGGTTTGAGAACAAGACGATCAAACTGGCCCTTCGTCATGCTGGTGTGACTCCGGCAGATTCAGATGTGTATGCCACAGACATATATTGTACGGTACATGCTGTACTTGTGCTCGTATTCGCTAAAGCTACTAACGAATATGCAGGTCCCGTACCAGGCGCCTGGATGCCGTTTAAACGACCCAAAACCACAGAATCAGATTATGACGGGGCCGGAATTTGTCATAAGGGGTCAGACGGTCAGACAGTCTCCACAAAAGCACCCAAAATTCTCTCTACACGACCATTCAATCGACTTCCGATCTTAAACATGACATTATTCCTGCCCCAGCAATCAACTTTATTACGAGGAGACGGGGTTAAGAGATGTGGAGGTAAGACAACGGTACCAGTACTTGTTTTGTGATGGCAAGCTGATCCAAGCTATATAACGCGTTCGAGAACTGCTCACTTGTTCACAAAAACAACACACACAACACACACGGCATGTCCAACATCTCCATCAAGAACAACAATGGCAACGGAATCACTCTGGCGGCTGTCGTCAACAAGCCCCGGAACTTCGATGAGTCCAAAAAGTATCCCGCCGTGGTCGTGACTCATCCTGGAGGAGGCGTCAAGGAGCAGACCGCGGGCACATACGCCAAGAAGCTCGCCGACGAGGGCGACTTTGTCACCGTGGCCTCGATGCCTCCTACCAGGGCGCCTCTACTGGCGAGCCTCGTCAGCTAGAGAACCCCCACGTTCGAACTGACGATATTAGCGCTGTTATTGACTACCTCGAGACCCAGTCGTTTGTTGACACCGGCAAAATTGGAGCCATGGGCGTCTGTGCCGGGGGAGGCTACACTGCCAACGCCGCCATCAACGACTCTCGAATCAAGGTCGTTGGCACCGTGTCGGCCGTCAACATTGGCCAGATGTTCAGAAACGGCTGGGACGGCTCGGTCAAGGACGCGGACGCTGCTCCTTACATCAAGGCTGGCTCGGACGCCCGAACCGCCCAGGCCAAGACTGGAGACATTGGAACCGTCCCCCTGGCTCCTCTCAAGAAAGAAGACGCCCCCAACGAAGAGATGGTCGAGGCCTGGGAGTACTATCACACTCCCCGAGCCGAGCACAAGAACTCGCCCGGCGTCATGACTGCTCGATCACTGGCCCAGATCGTCCCCTACGATGCCTATAACAACGCCGAGGCCTTCCTGACCCAGCCTGTCCTTGTGGTGTATGGTGAAAACGCAGGCAGCAAGTGGATGTCCGAGGACCTCGTCAAACGAGCCGCAGCCAAGGACAAGAGTTCACACGTCGTCAAGGATGCCAACCACATGGACCTCTATGACAAGAAGGTTGACGAAGTTGCCTCCAAGCTCTCCGACTTTTTCAAGAAGCATCTCTGAGAACAGTAGACCGGTGATTTAGTTATTCGTGAACAAGACGAGTGTATTGAATATGTCGAGAATCGTGTCGTCTATCGGCACTACAGTCTGAAGGGTGAAGGTAGGAGGGGCGAATCAGGGGAAGAGCGATGTAGAAAGAAAAGAGAATCATTTAAGACTCAAAATGTTTGACAGCTCTATGTATTCCTCTATAAAAAAGATTTATTCTAGACAGGACACTTTTGTACTGCTCTGTGCTCTGCCTTGCTCAATGATGTCAAGGTTCTCTCCCATCAGACCAAATTACTTGAGAATTAGTTAAAGAGAAAAGTCACCTGGGGGTGCCAATTGTATGTTCCAGACGTTATACTGCAATACCACCTATTACATTCGAAACCTGCTCATTGGATATATTATATTACTAAAAGTAATATCCAAATATAATACTCGCTTGCCCAATTCGCTGCCCAAATATCTTTTTCTCCAAGTCGCATTCAGTTGGCATTTTAGTTGACCTTGGGACGACCCAGAAAAACATGTCTCAGAACAAACGAACATGGTCACGCGATCAGAAATCAATGGTGGGGGAGCCATCCATATCTGATCCTATAGAGTAGCTAAATCAATGACAAAACAACCAGATGGTAGCCAGAATCTGTCTCATCCACGTAATCACAATAACAGACTCTTTCGCACTACTTGTAGCAAAAACATACTACCATAGTCTGCTTCAGCCTTACTACCATACAGTAGCTACAAGTACTTTACGCGCTGTACCGGCGGTACCAACAGCTTCAACAGACTCTCAAAAGACTTCATATAACGCCTCTTAATCTTTTGCCAACCTCAAGGCACACAAACAGACTGCTTACTCATCAAAAAAACACCGAACAATCCTCTCCTCCATACCTTGCGCTGTTCTCAACATTTTAGACCCACTTGCCGAGCGAATGACGTCATACGACACTAGTCCCCTCAACAGCACATTACGAACACATGCTCGTACTGTACATACCCGTAAGCGATACGAACACATAAACGGTGGTAACGGAGCATTGAAGTGCGGAACATCACGTGAATAGCTTCCTCAACCAATCTCTCTCGCTCCTGGACCTTCCAATAGTGGTTTCATCCAACTGGTAAGCTTTTGTCAAGCTATTTTTTCCCACAGCTTTAGGAGTGTTTATGCTCGGGATACTTTTTTAATTTTTGGTCCTATTGGGTCTAGAATGTCCAGTTTTGGAGCTAAAAAAAAAGGCCTGCCGGGCTGAAAATGGAAACGGGGGCTCATAAGGTCAGTATCACGTGACCAAAGAGTTCTTCTCACGCGCCCTGCCTCTGCATGGTCCGTTTCTCAGGTTTTTGGTGTCCAAAAATACCCCTATTTACAGTTTATGCACATGTCCACGTATTACACGTTTAACCATCAGCAGTTTCACCGTCACAAGCACCAGCAGTACACAACATACACACACGCACACACACACACACAACGACACAAACCGACAATGAGTGAAAACGAGTGAGTATAAATACACCGCCATCCGCCATATTGTGTCTAACACAGTCTGCAATCGTTTGCGCCTGTTGTGGGTCGAATGAAGTCAAAACGATGGGTTCAGGCCTCCGCCCCCTCGTACGATGGAGACGACTGGGACGACGACTATTACAGTGGCGACGACGCGCCCGAGGTGCCGGAGGTACCCAGTGAACACGTGGCGTCTATTGCTGAAGTGGACGAGGGTGTGGAAGAGGCTCCTGAAGCGCCTCCGGTGATCAAACCCCTGGCATTGGGACGGGCGGGCCAGCAGCAGAAGCTGGAGGAACAGCGGGAGCAGGAGCGGCTGCGAAAGCAGCAGGAGGCCGAGGCCGAGGCTGAGGCCGAACGCCAGGCTGAGACCGAGCGCCAGGCTGAGCTGGAGAAGCAATACCAGGCCAAGCTCGCCGAAGAGAAACGACAACGTGAACAGCTGGAGGAGTTGGAGCGGGAACAGCAACGGATCCGGGAGGCCCGGGCGCGAGCCGAGGCTGAGACCAAGGCCAGAGACGAGGCTGAAGCCAAGGCACGGGAGGAGGCTGAGGCGAAAGCTCGAGCTGAAGCTGAGGAGCAGGATCGACTGGAGCGAGAGGAGATTGAACGCGAATACCGAGAGCGCCAGGACGCCGAGAGGCAGCGTCAGAAGCAGGAGGAGGCTGAGCGACTGGAGAGGGAGGAGGAGGAGCGACTGAGAAGGGAGGAGGAGGAGCGCCAGGCCAAGATGGAGGAGGAGCGTCAGGCCAAGCTTGAAGCTGAACGACAGGCCAAGCTCGAGGAAGAGCGATTGGCCCGACTGGAGGCAGAGCGACAGGCTAAACTTGAGGCAGATCGACAGGCCAAGCTCGAGGCCGAGAAGGCACGCAAGGTCAAAATTGAAAAGGCGCGAATCGAGGCTGAAAAACAGGCTGCGCGGGAAGCAGAGGAACGACGGCTCAAGGAGGAGCAGCAACGACTGGCCGAGGAGGAGGAGAAGCGACAGGCGGAGGCGGAGGCCGCACGTGTTGCTGCTCTAGAGGCTGAGCTAGAAGCAGAGCGTGAGAAGGAGAGCAAGAGACAAGAGGTCGTTCGCCAGGCCGAAAAGGAGCGTCTAGATGCTGAAAGAGAGGCGGAGTACCAATCCAAGCTGGAGGCGCGCGCCAAGGAGGCCGAAAAAGCCCGTCAGGCAGAGGAGGAGCAGCGTGAGGCTGAACAGGCTCGTCTGGAGGCTGAACGCCATGCTCTGCTCATGTCAGCTGCTGGGGAGGAAGGGGGAGATAAAACCAACTCTCCCACCACACAGTCGTTTTACGATTCCAGATCAAAGGGAGTCGGAAACGCTTCTGGAACTCCTGTGATGTCTCCCCGAGTGGATTATGACGACTTCCAAGCCACGGCTTCTCCCAACACCAGGGACCCCTACGATCCCAGTAATCATTGGGGAGGTGGAGCTGTCACATCTGACTCTGCTGGGCGTGATGATGGTGGTTCTAACAACGGTGTTGTTGGAGCCATTGGAGGGGCGATTGCAGGTGCTGCTGCTGCCGTGGGAGCTGCCACTCTTGAGTCTAACAATGACTCTGAGAAGGATGGCAACAAGGAGGCTGATAAGAGTATTGATTCGTCTACTGGCTCAGAAGCACACACAGTCGGTCTTTCTAAGGAAGTGCTGGCTGCTCCTTCGGAAGCAGATGCTTCCAACTCACTGAAACATGCATCAATGGTTGCTCAAGTGGGTGCAGATGAGTCTGAAACACCCACCACGCTTCCTAGCAGCTCTGGTACTGCCACCTCCAAGAGTATGTCTCGTGTGGACTCTGTGGAGGACATTGTTGCTGACTACTATGCTTATAGCAGTGATGAGGGCGTTGAAGGAGAAGGAGTGGAGTACGATGAAGAGGGAGTTGAAGAAGGGTCCACTATGGATGGCCATAAAGATAAGGAGGAGGAGAAGGCCGACAAGAAAGATGCTGTCATAAAGGACTCTTTGGATATTTCACCTGTCTCTTCCACTTCTCATTCTCACTATGCTGACGCCGAAGATGTGGAGGCAGGATACACCATGGACGGAGTCAAGATGGAAGGATCTGATGGATCTGACAACGAGACTGACCATGAGACTGACGAGGACGACAAGAAGTTGTCCAAGCTCGACACTTCCGGTGCTTCTGCTGTTCCCGACACTTCAGACGTGTCTACTCCCAAGCTTGACCAGGAACCCTCTTCTGCTTCTACTGATATTGCTGGAAAACGAGAAATCCCTTCGCATCTCGTCCCCGGTCTTACCGTGGGCACTGGAGGCAGTCCCCATGTGAAATCCACCTCGGAAATCACACCCACGACCGAGATGAACAAACTATCGGACGAGATTCTCAACTCGTTTTCGGCTGAAGGAAATGACCCTTACTACACCAACAGCGCGTACGATTATGACGATAGCGATGCTGGTCCCGATGCAGAGCTACAGGCGCTATATGCCGGTTCGCACAAGTTTCTTGACGCGCGAATGTCGCGTGATATGAGCGATGTGCACGGTGATTTTTCTGTGGCTCCTCTTTCTCCCAAACGGCTGTCTCGAGTGGCCGTTGTAGACGAGTCTAACAGCTCGCCTAGTGTTGGTAAGGTGGCTGCGGTTGTGGGGGCTGCTGGAGCCGTTGGAGTAGCCTCTGGTGTTGTTACAAGTGGTGGTGAGACTACTTCTGCTTCCGCCACTCCTACCACTTCTGATGCTCCCAAATTCGAGGATGCTACCAAGGCCGTCAAGGACGCCATGGAGGGAAACAAGGATCTAGAGTCGGATTTGCAAGCCAAACAGACGGAACCCCTTCCATCTCTGCCCTCTATTCCCGTTTCTTCTCTTGATCCGGGCACTCCCACTATTCCGTCTTCGGAAGACAAGAGGGAGAAGGAGGGCAAGGAAGACAAGGACACCAAGGAGAAGGACGATAATGACAACCGTGCATCCTCCCCCGAGCTTGACGAATTCGAAGACGCAGTGGAACGTATTTCTACAAACGACGAAAAACCCGATCGAACGAGCCACGACTCGGGCTACAAGTCGATGATTCTGGCTACTTCGCTCGAAAACGTGGCCACCACGCCCTCTGCAGGTGCCTCGTCGCGTTCGGCGTCTCGAGGAGCAGGCATACTGGGCAAGCAGAGTAGCATCTCGTCCATGAACGCTCTAGGCAAAACGGACAGCTCGTCGTCGTCTGGTGTGCCTCCCACAGCCTCCTCGGCCGTGCAGAATATCTTCCCTACTAATTCTGTCTCCACAGGTTCCCCTGCACAGGCTCCTGCCTCGTTCGCCAAGCAGGCCACCACCACAGCTGTACTTCCGAAGGGACCAGCCATCACCACAGCCCAGGTACGATCGGGCCCGTCGTACGACTTCCGGTCGATTCTGACGCGTCCTCGGTCCATCGATCGGGCCAACGCGTTCAATGACGCCCGAAAACGGGAGGCGGAGTACTCTCCCGGTCTCGAGAGCTGGCTGGTGTTCACCTACAATGCTCTTAAGACGGACGCCGGCATCAGCGACATGCAAACGTCGGGCTCATACTCTGGCGGCTCCAACAACCTGCCCAAGGCGTCATCCAATCTTCTGGCCGGCTCCATTGGCGACGTGTTCCAGAACCCTCTGTCGGGCATGTCTGGCGCCACCAAGGTGTCTGAAAAGTCGTCGCAGGTGTTCAACAAGGTGGGCGAGAGCACCACCAAGCGAGCCCGGGGTCTGTTTGCAAAGTCCAAGAAGCTCATGAAGGGCGACAGATAGTTTATTTAATGTTATTGCTGTTGTTATGGTTGAGTGCAGAGTGGGCGTAGGTCTTGCTCAACAGGATATCCCGGGTTAAGTTGATTAGTTGGACCCCATGGATTGTCAATTGAAGACAAAAGGGTTGGGGTCTTGAGGACCGGACCCTCACCATTAGAGGAGCTTGTCAGCTGGGCGAAATAACTGTTATAAGTTCAAAAAGTGAATGGCTATTCAGCTTTAGTTCTACTGAGGAGAAAAGGGGTCTAGGAAATGAAGCTACTGTAGCGGAGGACGAGTGAGAGTCTGTTCAGGATTAGGGATTAGATCTGAGGGACTAGATATGATGCGTATAATAGGTCGAACTAACTCATCAGCTGCTAAGTATCCTTGCCGTGGCGTGTTCGTATTCCAGATTGTTATTGTTATGCTATGTACAGAAGTGACCAAATGGGTCAGTGGGGTTAGGACAACTTGAAGGAAACCGGTTGATCCGTTTATTTGTTGTCGTCAGGCTTGGGATAGGGCTGGGATTCGGAGGGACCCTGGGCAGACAGACCGAACCGGTCACCCATCTTCTTGCCCATGTAAGCGTTACCAGCGCCCTCGTAGTAGGACACTCGCTCGACGCCGGTAGCGCCTGCGGGGACCTGGTTTCGGGGAGGCAGCTTGCCGTCCTCGACTTCGAAGACGTTTCGAGCGTAGGACTCGGTTTTTTGGGACCAGATGTATCTATGTTAGTAGGTAGAGTGGGTAATTGCTGCATCAACGGAACACACAGTATGTGGTCAATGGCTGGTGCAAAAGCATCAAAGTACTCAATGGTGCAATAACGGTCCATAGAGACACGTCATTCACGTCACAACTGGCGCGGACGTAAATATAAACAACCACATGTGAGCACGTGTGTTTCTGAGGTGATGGAGAGCGGATGCGTGAGCCACGCCACGGAGTTGGTAGTCGGTGTTGTTTGCAATAGATGAGTTTGCGATACCGCCATAATTGCCATCGACCGTCATTACCCACAATAAAACAACTTTTTGCTCAATGTTTCTGTGCACCCTCCGTTGTGAGCTCCTCTTTGCCGTCTCACATCTCTCATGTGGGACCATTCTGTCTGAGCATCTGTTTCTCCTGTCCATACTCACTTCTTCACGAGGTAAATGCTGCCGATGAAACCAATGAAGGAGTAGAATCCGATTTTGAAGTTTCGGGCGGGAATCTTGGGCTCTTCGTACCAGTTGGACATTTTGGCGGGTGTGGGGCGGTGGTGATGATCAGGTCAGATTTGACATTTGGGTTGGACCTTTGTATGCCAACTTTAAGCGCAACTCATAATCTGTTGCGCCTGAACAAAACGGGAATATCTGGGGGGGAGGGGGTGTATGTCAGTTGAAGTGATTGAGAGCAATCTAAAGAGGCTTAGTAATCTGCTTTGTTGTTTCCAACATGACTCGGCCCCTTCTAAATTGCCATAACACCACCGAACATCCATTCTCCACGCCTTTTTCACCAGCCACAATAACTAAAACTTTGCGCCACAATTAATTTTGAAAAGTGAAAAATGGCGTTTAAATGTGGCTAAAAAAAGGCCAATGTCGAGATGGCGCCGCTGGTCATATATTTTGCCCGTGAACTAGTCTATAAGGACACCAAAAAGACAAAAGAATATCACATGACTTGCGCAATTGCAATCTTTGTCATCATTAACCCACAGTCCACCTTGAGTTTCCCTCTGAAACAGTCCAGTTAGGTTGCTGATTACTGATCAGGTATATCTTGTATGAGCTGATGTTGTCATAGTCATAATGCCAGGCGACGGGAAAATACAATAGTTGCCCTATCATAAAGAAACAAATCCAGTTGTTGATACCTTCACCACCTCTGTCTGATGTACCATTTATCTAACAAATCCTCTGAATTCTCCGTCTTGAAGAAACATTTTACTGGACATATCGTCTTCTTTTAGTTAAGATATTACTTTGCTCTGAACAAATGTGAGTCTCAACAGAGACATTCATGGCAGCATCTACGCGACGCAATTTGGACTGAGAAAAAAAGACAAACCATCAACTGTTGGACTTCCGACACTCCAATACCATCCTAAACCTCCCCCTTACCCCCGCCCATCGCAACATCCTGCTTACTAAACTACTACTACCACCACCCACCAATCTCTCTCTCTCTTTACCTCTCTTTGGTGCCTTAGTGCGGGTCCGACATATATACCACCATGAGGAGACGCACTTGTCCCGGACACGCGAAAATGAAGAAGTCACGTGACCGCGGCAAGGGGCCCGCGACCGTTCGCACTGGTCCCTTTCACGTGGTGGCTGACTAAGACGATGCACGGTCACGTTGTCCACCACCACCTCCAACTCAAAGTGTCATAGAGTAAAAATTGGACTTGCTGCAGCAGTGGGTGACCAAGCACACAGCACTGCACAACATCACCGCAGTTTGTCTGTCTTCATCACCACATCATCACAACCATGTCCAAGCAGCCGACGAACCCGTTGATGCGCAGCAAGAAGTACGACTCGCCGTTGCGACGAGATCGGCCGTCTCTGCGCCCGCAGATGCGTAAGGGCCCCATCAACATTCCTGCGCGACCAGGCCACAAGTTCATTCAAAGCACGCCTGGTGTCAAGAAGGAGGAAAACGAGCCCAAATACAAGGAGTACTCGCTGGTGGCTGCGTCCAAGGACGAGCTCAAGGACCTGCGATACCACATTATGCGACTGCACAGTATCAAGAACGTAGACCCCGGCGCCGACTTCACTCCCCCCATCAAGTTGCACAGAAAAGACCCTCGAAACCTGCAGTTCCAGGCAACACAGGAGGAGCAGGCGGCCGAGTCCAACGCCGACAGTGGCGCTGAGGAGGGGACGGAGCCTGTCAAGCGAGAGCAGGCCGATCTGTCGAAAATCGCGCCGGATGGAGGAGCCCGACACGCCAAGAAAAACCAGTTCAACAAGAAGGCCAAGCAGGTGATCCACAGAGACGAAGATGCCAAAAAACTGCGGTATGAGGAGTACTACCCCTGGGTAATGGAGGACTACAGTGGCAAGAACACGTGGGTGGGCAACTATGAGGCAGCCCAGAGCGACTCGTACTGCGTCTTTGTGTTCCACGGTAACGGCTTCAAAATGGTGCCTGTCGAGAAGTTTTACAAGTTCACGCCGCGAAACCAGTATGCCACGTTGACGCTTGAGGAGGCCGAGAAGCGGATGGCAGACAGTGTCAAGGCCGGCACCCCTCGATGGCTCATGAAACACATGTCGCCCGAGATGCAGCAATCGCGAATGCGAGATCAGCGCCCACGCAAGTTCCAGACTGTCGACAGTGGGGGGCCTGTGGATGACGACGATGGGCTGTCTCGTCGACGAGAGCGAGATGATGAGGATCTCGATTTCGACCACGTCTTTGACGACGACGAAGAGGCGCCGATCATGGACGGAGACGAGGAGGACCAGAAGGAAGTGGAGCGAAAGATGAAGAACGAGCACCGATCGGCAGCCGTTCTGAAGGACGATAACCACGACGACATGGGCGACCTGTTTGGAGAAGAGGAGGAGGAGAAGATGGACAAGGAAGGTCGTAAGTTGAAAAAGTATCTGCGGTCACTGGAGAAGAATGCTCATTACGATTCGGATGACGATGAGAACCCCTACGCTTCTTCTTCCGAAGACGACGACGACGAAGAAGATGGTATCAAGAAGGAAGACCCCGTCAAGAAGGAGGAGGATCTGGCCATCAAGGAGGAACCCATGCCGTTGTTTGTCAAGAAAAACATTACTGGCCTGCCCCGCGGCATGGCTGTCATCCAGCTGCCTCCTCATGTTCTCGCCAAGTTCACCCGAGGAGTGTGGAACCCCAATGCCAAGCGTCCTCGAGAGGCTGGCGGAGAGTCTGGAGATGCTAAGCGGCCCCGAACCGCGGATGCTGATCTACCTCCTCCCTTTGGACCCAACGACACGGTTCTGTCCGACGACATCATTCTCAACACGCTGCGAAGCCGACCCCCCATGGCCGTGCAGGATCTGCTGCGAATTCTCATGCCCATTATGCGCAAGGATGCCGACAACAAGGCTCGTCTGACGGCTTGTCTCAAGAAACACGCAAAGGTCCAGAACGGAGTGCTGGTGCTGAGAGAGTAACAAGATAGAATGTAGGAGATATCCCTTTGAAACAGATACATAAGATAAATATTATAGCATGGGTTTGGTTGGAGGGGGTGAATGGGAGAGACGTAGTTCTAATATGGAAAATGCGACTCCGTTAAGTACGTCACAGGTCCTAAGATGGTCCCCCTACGGTCCTGTTCTGTCTCTCCCCTCTTGTCTGAACCAGTGTGTTTATCGGTAAGACGAATGAAAAACAGATGTTAGTGATCTGGTGTAGCTACCTGCTGTCGTGCCGCTGACTAACGGTTAGTTCTACGTCGGTTCTGGTTCTGACTCAACCCTTCATGGTGATGTGCGATAGAGAGCACCTACAGGTATGTACTATGGTATGGGGTTGGTGCAAGTATCGTTCACAGTTTCCCACAAATATCTCTACTCCTGTCAGATACACCCACTTAATCCACTACATCATATTAATAATCATCATATGCATTATGCTATTGTCCAATCCATCCTTCTTCCTTCCTCCATGTCTTCTAATGTCCCTCCTCGTGCCAGTACTCCTCGTTGCTGGAGCTACTGCTGGAACTGCTGGTGCTTACAGGACTGCCCATGGCGTCATCGTCCACAACGGCAGCGTACGCATTCTGCTCCACCATCTGGTCATAGGTGCCTTCAGAGAAGTAGTCGTCGGCCTCGACAGACTCGGTGGTTTCTCCTGCAGCTCCATCAGCTCCAGCTCCAGCTCCGGCTCCGGCTCCGGCGCCCAGTTGACCAGCCCCTGCCTCGTACTGCTGCTGCTGCTGCTGGTAGCCCTGGTTGATGAGATCCAGATATGCGTACATAAAGTTGGACAGCAGCACTTGCTGCACCAGTGGGCGACGAGGGTTGGCCAGCTTCAAATGAGACAGCCGGTAGATGGCCCGCTCAATGTGCAGCGGGAACCGATGGTAGTACATGACCATGGCCCGTCCGGCACCGGGAGGCACCAGAACTGCGGGACCCGAGTAGAAAATCGGAGTCTCGTAGTCCATCACTGTCATCATGTTGGGCTTCATGTAAGTGGACGGCAGATCGAACAGAGCCGGATCGATGGGCGAGTACATGGGCTGCTGCTGCTGCGCAGGGTCCATGTATCCATCACTGGACTCAGACGGAACAGTGTCCTCCATATCCTTTGAGCCAGGGCCCACCACGGTCCGATCCACGTCCATGTGGTCGTCCTGTCGCTCCAGCTCGGCTCGCACGTGCTCAGACTTGGACTTGTTCTTGTCGCGTCGTCGCTTGGTGGGGCTCTTGGAGTTGCGTGCCTTTTGGATCCGTCGACGCTGAGACGGAGACTGAGATCGGGACCGGTCCTCGGGAGCCGACGAAGCAGCTGCAGGTGCTGTTCCTCGACGGCCGGGTTGTCCAGATTGCGATGGTTGCGATGAGGAGGGAGCCAGCACAGGGACGGCCTGAACAGGAGAGTTTGTTGCCTGCTGCTGCACGTCGACTGGAAGCTCTGGCTCTCGCCTCTGTTCCCTCTGCTCTCTCTGCTCTCTCTGGTCCACCTCCTTCTTGTCCTCCCGCTTGTCCTCTCCTGCTGTGTTAATGTCGTCGTCGCCCTTCTTGTCTTTCTTGAAAAACGACGTGATCAGGGTCGCTGCGTCCTTCTTGCCCTTGACCTTGCGCTTGATGAGGTTGGAAGACTGCGCCGGCGCGTGTACCTCGTCCTCGGCGTTACTGGCGTCCTTTCCTCCATCCTTGTCCTTGCCGTCCTTGTCCTTGTCGCCTAGTAGCCAGCCCCACGTGCTCTTCTTCGATTTGGACTTGGTCTTGGTCACCTCGCCATCCGAGTCGTAGCCGGCGTCGCTGCTGGGAGCCGTGTTGGAGCGCCCTCGGCCGTATAGCTGCTCTGACGGTGGAATCGACGAAAGCACGTCAGTCGTCTGGCCCATCATCGATGGCGAGTTGAACGATGATCCGCCAATCAGCTGCTCGTCCGTGATACGGTAGACCACTGGCGCCTCCTTGTTGATGGGAAGCTCCTTGTAACTCAGCTCCTTGTGCAGAGGCTGAGGCGGTGAGGGAGGCGCGTGTTGGTCCGGCGAGTCAACAGTAGAGGGGGTGGGCTCCGACGCCGTGCTTCCATCTCGAGCATGAGACGGGTCTCTGGATGCCGCGGAGGACCCTGAAGTCGAGGGGAAGTCGGGATGACTTTTCAGCTCGGGACTGTGGCTGTGGCTCGACTTGTGGCCCGGCTTGTACGGTCCAGGAGGTCCCCCATGAGTTCCCGGCTTGCCTCGTCCTGGAGGACGCTGCTGGGGCCGGCTGTGACCGTGTCCGCCCTGGGGGCTATTACCCCCGTGCCCACCCTGGGGGCCATGGTTCGGTCCGTGGTTCGGCCCGTGACCCTGGACATGGTTCTGAGGTCCATGCGCCAGCCCATGTTGGCCCTGGGCATGGCCTCTGGACCGATGTGCGGGAGGGTAGGGACCTCCCTGGTGACCCTGGTGAGGAGCGGGGTGTTGCCCAGAAGGTCCAGGGTACGGGCCCTGCTGCTGTCCCTGGGGCGCGGGATAGGGGCCCTGCTGCTGTGGATGACCTTGGCCATGTGGACGATCTCGACGCTTGTGTTTCGGAGGAGGTCCATTATAACCAGGAGGGGGGCCCTGGTGCTGTTGATGTTGTTGCTGCTGGAGATGCTGCCGGGGATGCTGCTGGGGATGCTGTTGCTGGGGATGCTGAGAATGTGGTTGTTGATGCGGGGGATGTGAATGTTGTCGGTGCATGGGCTGGCCACCGTGGTATCCGTGGTGGGGAGGTCCGTGAGTGTCCCGAGGACCGTCTCGGAGTCCATCGCGGGGTCCATCTCGGGGTCCATCTCGGGGTCCATCTCGGGGTCCATCTCGGGGTCCATCTCGGGGCATAGGACCATCTCGAGGACCCTGTACCTGTCCTGGAGGAGGAGGGGCAGCCATATCCGGCCTGGGGCCAGGGCCAGGGCCAGAAGAAGGGCCAGAGGAAGGGCCAGGGACGGAGCTGGTAACCGGAACAGGTGTCGGGCCCGGAGGAGGACCGCCAGGAGCACCTCGTCTTCTCTGCTTAACGTCGTCTTCAAACGAGAAGCCGTTGTCGTCTTCGGGAGCAGCAGGAAGAGGAACTGTTGGAGGCGCAGGAGAAGGAGCCTGAGCAGCATGCGGAGGCTTTCCGTCGGGAAGCGGCTTGTCCAAAGCCGGAGCAGTGACTGTCACAGTATGAGACACCAATTCTGGCTCACTCTCCTTGGAAACCACATGTTTGGGCGAAACCTGAGTAGGAGACACCTGTTCGGGCGGAATCTGCTGCTTGGGAGAAATCTGCTCAACGGCTTGCACCGGAGAGTTTGGTGAGACCTCCCCGTCGTCCACCGCTCCAACTGCTCCCACGACTCCTCCAGGAATTGGAGGCATGGGCTTGTCCACGTTTACATTCACGTCCAAGTCTTCTCCCGCTGCTGGTGGCGGAAGAGAAGGCACCGGTTTGTCCAAGCCATCGAGGGGAGCCATCAATGGCGGCTTGTCAACAGCAACATCCACGTGCAGCTGTTTGTCCTGCAGATACTTGTCCTCCTTAGGCGGGGGAGTAGGAGGAAGAGAGTCCGCAGTATCCACGATTGTAGAAACAGGATCAGCGGGATCAATGGCGGGATCCGCAACCTGTGATTGTGATGGTGTCTGAGTCTGAGTCTGAGAGGGCGAATCAGCATCAAAGGGGTTCCGATCTCGAGCGGCAGACTCGGCCCTAGCACGACGAATGCTACTCGGCTTGGAGTAGTTGGTCCGCTTGGCCCGTCGCAGACCCATGAGCGGCGTGTTGGATTCTTCCTCCTCCTGGATGGAGTCCACTCCCGGAGACGAGTCCAGAGTCTTTTTGCGCTGCAGCTTTTGGGGCGACGTTTGTCCATCTCGTGACACCGACAGCGAACGTGCCAGTGTGAACGGATCTGCGTTCGTCTGCTGTGTAGTCAACTGGGACAGCTGCGTGGACAGCTCCTCGATGGTGACGGAGCCGAGCGTTGAGGTGGACAATAGCGACGATCTGCGTCGGTTCTCCAGAATCTCGGAGCCGTCTGTGTAGTCCTCCTGGTCGCGGATTTGTTTTGAGAGTCGAGAGTTTGAGCGTTGCAGGCCCGACTTGCGCTTGTGTTCCACGTTGGCCTCTCCCACGTCAGTCTGGGTGTATGTGGCTGACGGAGATCGTGACAAGCTTGACAGCGACGACGCCGACAGCCGGCGCGTGTCTGTCTCCTCATCCATGCCCGCCACCTTGTTTTCCACAAACGTCTTCCACTCCTGCGGAGCCAGCTCCGGATGGATAGACGCTGGGACCCACAGCAGCGAGTTTCGGTCTGGGGACGAGCTTGAGGAAGACGACGACTTGCGGGCGGAGGAGCGCCGTCGGGGCGGTGTGGTGGGGGTGTCCAGTGACGTGTGTCTGGCGAGTGTGCGTGCCGGGGGCGTGGGCGAAGTAGCGGCTCCCGCTCCCGCAGACCGCGAGCGGCCCACTCCCACCACGTCTGTCGTCTCAGCTGCATCATGGAACTCGTCCGTGTCCATGTCAATGCCCAGCGCCTGCGCCACGTGGTACGAGTGGTAGGCGTCCGGCAGGTCCGGGTCGGTGGTCAGCGCGGCACCGATAGACAGCCGCTTGAGCGTCTGGATGGCGTTGATCTCTTGGGCCACGGCACGCGATTGCGGTTGGATGCGGTTGGGGGAGGCCGACGTCTGGGGCGAGGTTGGGGGCTCTGCCGACAGCCGGCGGTTGAGCGGCGGCGACTGCGTCACCACGGCGAGCGATCCGCCGCCTCCATGGCTGAGTCGTTCCATGAGTGTAATGTAGAAGGAGTTGTGTGCAGTTGGTGGTGAACTGTCGTGTCCCACGGTGCAGACCGGTAAGCTTAGAATAAGGTGTAAACTTTGGACTGGCAGTACTTTGTAGTGTACCACTACCTACTGTAGGCGGCGGATTTGCAGAGACCAGACGTGCAATTCTGAGGGGAACCAGCAACTGTTTGTGGTTTTCGCTGTGCTGACCGTTTTGGTACCCTTTTTCTCGTCTTATTTATCAGCCCCATCAACCTCCTACCGTACTTGCACTACTACCCGTTAGTTCACCTCTATGGTACAACTAGTGGCTAATTCAACCTAACTTCCAAGGGGTACTTACCGTAGACGTAGACGTGTACGCACTTTTCATGTAGCTAACTGCACCGCTACGTGCAATTCACTACAAGCACCCATACTGTACCAGTACAATACAGTAGCAGACATGGAAGTCATATTTCACAGATGCAAACACAAACCTGACTAATCAGAGAAACAACAGCTTATATACCTGCGCGAACCAAAAGACAAGCTCTTTGTGTGTCCTCCCCCCTTTTCCAAATCCGGGTACCGGCTTTTTCCCACAATTCTAAGACTGGCACATGTATCTACTGTACTGTATTTTCTTACCTAAAAAATAAAAATAAAAAAATTCCCCCAAAAAACAAAAAAATTACTGTACAAGTGCTTGTACATGGGTGAATGGACCTGCAAACGAATAAAACAAATAAAACACGTCGAAACCACATCCCGCCTGGCTCTTGCAACTCACCCATCACCGACTCTACTCCCCAGCTCACTTCCCCCCCACATATCTTACGTGTCCCAAACCATTGTCAAAAATCTTGCTGCTTTTTTGCTCAACCGGCTTTTTTTTTTTCAAGACGCGCGCTCAAAATGCGACACGCGAGCAGAGATCGGCACCAGGGAGGCGCCATTGTGCTTATGTAAGCGTTGGACAAACGAGGCCTCTGGTTGAATTGGATCACGTGACCAAACGATCTCTTTACTTTCTCCGTTGTTGTTCCCGATGCGTTCGTTGTCACTTCATGTCACTTTTTATCCAATATGTCATCATTGCGACCTTTAAACGGTACTGTTTAGTAATTAGTCTGGAAAGAAAGGAAAAAAAGAAAAAAAAGGCAAAAAAATAACTGATCGGAAAAAATGCATAAAAAACAACTGATCACGTCGAGGGTACAACTACGGGTACAAGTACTGTGTATATTTACTCCAAATCACTCCTATCTTGCTTCCAAATTCATCTGTACAAGTACACACCGTTGTATATGTCAGATAATTGGGCGGATTTACTGTTATTAATTAAGTTCTGTTTTCGTGAAAAAAAGAAAGAAGAAAAAGATAGAAAAAAAAAATCGCCCGAAATTATGCTCCATCAAAAAGACCCCCCTGAATAACGTTGATTTGCCCCTTACACGTGAGATAGCCGCTTGGCTGTGGCAGGGAAGAACATGACATGACATGACAGGACAATGACACGTTGGAGACGAGACAAAGACGGACTAAAATGGGCCCGGCCAGTCGGACTTTTCGCTTTTTCGCCTTTTCGCTTAGTCATTAGATATCACTGTCTCGGAGTAGCTTCGCGATGACTCATCAAAAAAACTACACCACACACTGTGTTTCACAAGTGCATTAGAATGAGCTACTGCAACGGACTTTGAAACAACAACGACGATATGAGCAGCAATTGTGCTGGCATAGGGAGAGGAGAGGCGGTGTCACGTGATGATGAGAATGGAGTGACCGTGCCTCTTGGTTGGTTTGTGTTGTTGCCATTGGTGTTCAAGTACAGTACAGCTGTATGTACAGTATGAGTAACTTTCTGTTAAAATTATAAGTAAAGAAAGTGATGTAGTTACTCCCTTCAACAGTTATGAGAAGAGTGAATGTACTAGAAGGTGGATTCTTTATGGTATTGTTTCAATGGAGGTTTGTTTCTCTTCATTTTGGTACAATTTTCATTCTTCTACCTTTATGGCAACACCAGATTGTCACCCCCAGGTGACGTTTTTCTTTAACAAAGTCTCAACTAATTGGACAGCCAAAGAATCAGTAGTAATCATTCACATCACATCATAAAGATGACTCTGTATTTCGATAGCGACAAACATAAAGTAATCATCCGGCTTGCACATACTCGAAATTCAAGTCTAGTATCGCCTTGTACAATCTGATCGTCACTATCGATGGAAATTGAGTCTAGCTGCCGTTTGTGGGGCTTCGGGAGGCTTCCACAGAACCGTTGGACGACTTCTGGAGCTCTCATTGTGATCCCCTCGTTGCAACGATATCTATATGTCTCTCTTTTCTTTTCTTGGCTCCTCTATCGACACTGCTTCTTCTACCACCCACTACAGGTACAGTCAATGGTGAATAAAAAAGTATTAATACATGCCTAAGCCTTAGTTTCGGCCTCAGTCTCAGCCTTGGTCTCAGTGTCAGTCTCGACCTCAGCCTTTGTCTCCACCACCTCGGGCTCGGCAGAGACAGACTCCTCCTCCTCCTCCTCCTCGTCATCGTCATCTTCATCATCCTCTTCGTCGTTACCCTCAGCTCCCTCTGCAAGACGAGCCTTCTTTCGGGCTCGTCGATGGGCTCGTCCGTAGTTGGCAGGGTCAAGTTTTCGCATGGGCAGCACCGCTTCAAACGCCGCCTTCCAGTCCTTGAGCTCGGTCCACTTGAGCAGAATCTCAAAAACGTGGTTGGTGGTCAAAACCTTTCGTCCCGATAGCTTGATGAAGTCGGCGATGGGCAGACGACCGGTCTGGAGACCCTGCTTGGAAGCCTTGTCCTGACACAGGTTCTTGTACCGTCCCTTGTCGACAATGCCGCCAATGATGTATGTTTTTCCGTCCTCCAGTTCGTTGATGACATTGTCCGAGTCTGAGGATAGGTAGACCAGTTTGCTCTTTGCGGTCTCGTCCTCGGGCACAGTGTAGTCGTCCTCCACAAACTTGATGTTGGTCCACAGCTCGTGCACCTTGTTCATTTCGTTGTTGAACCGGTCCTTGAGTCCCTTGTTGAACGAGTTGACGGTGAGATCGAACCTGGCATCGGCCTTTCGATTGGCGCTGTAACATCGGCCCACCTGGGCACTGAGCGACACCTTTTCCTTCTGTGTCATCATCTCGTCGAATCCGCAGTCCAAAACAATGCTAATGGGGAGTTGTGTCTGGGGGGGTCGTTCATCCTGGGGGATGGGGGCGGGGATCTCGCCTCGGCTGATGGCGAGCTGTTTTCTCTTTCGAGCCGCCTTTTTCTTCTCCTTCTTGACGGCGGCAATCTCGTCCTTCTTGCTCTCCCATATGGCCTTCTTCTGCGCCTTTTTCCACTCGTTTTTGGACATGCCCTCGGGAATCACGGCAGTTTTGGTGTTGTAGGGAGCAGGCACGTTCTGGGGGTTTTTGGGGTGCGGTTCGGACGTGCGATCTACCTCGGGGGTGGCGCTAGAGGCCCCGGCAGTCTCCTTCACTGCCTCGACGGGTGCAACGGGCTCGGTCACGTCTACCATGGTGGTGTATTTTTGAGAGATTCCGTGAAATATATTTTTCATGCCGATTATATGCACCTCGAGTTAAATGGGGAAGGGATGGGAGATGTAATTTGACGGAAAAACAGTTGAAATAAATGGTAAAAATGTATCTGGAATGATTTGTAAGTTGATGAGTAAGCCGCTGTCGATTTTCTTGTTTTCCCAGGGAGATGAGATGAATATTGAGCTAGTTGGAGAGACTATATGATGGAGTTGTGGTTGTAGCATCGTATCGAGCGTTTGTAGTCTAACAAAAGCTTAACTATTTGTTTATGAGATATACATTGTTCTCTGGAGTGCCAGTATGAGTAGATTAATGTATTATGTTTTTACAATAATAAATAATAATAATAAATAATAATAAATAATAAATAATAATAAAATTGGTATTGATATCGCACAGTACTAAGGGGTTTCATTGTTGCACGGGTCGTACATCGTGCCAACGTCGATAGTTTCTCTTTCTAGTGTTGGGCTGTACATACTGTATAGTCTCACATCAACAAAACCTCAAGTAAGTACCGGTATCGTACTTGTACAGGTCTCTTACTGAGTCATAACTCGACAGAGAGTGTCATTCTTTTGAAGTGTTACTGACGTTTCCAAGTCAGCTCAAAGCCCTCCGTCAGTAGTGTCCATACTTGTATGAGCTTGAGTGGTACTCGCACCGGCAAGGATGTTCCACAACCACCATTCTCATCTGTGAACTCGGAGACCCTTCCAGTTGAAACCGCTCTACGAGTAGCCACTCTCACTAGTCTATCTCGGTTAGTTGCACCGGGTCGTACTCGCTGTAGCAGGCCATGTTAAGCCTGAGACTAAGTCACCTGGCCTTGAAGAGACCCAGTCAGACACCAAAGTCAGTCAAGTTCAGGCTTCAGGTTTTTATCTGATCTGGCGGAAGCGGAGTAGCAAACCAGGCTTGAACGATTCGGCGTTTCTGAACGATTTACCGCTTCTGAACGATTTACCGTTTCTGAACAAATACCGTATATCAACAATCCAGCTGATATTCCACCCATGCGTGTTCGCCATTCCGAGATTTTCTCGGATCATACTCACCCACTTTACGGGGAAGCAGCGCTCAAAATGCCACCATACGGGAACCAAAAAGGAGCTAAAAATACGAGGAGTCTCGCGGGCACGTTCAAATGGCTCCTGATCACCACCATCACCCGTCGTGGGACCCCAACCGGATCATCTGATAACTGAAACGCTATCGCCATTTGCCCCTGATGGAGTGACGCTGCCTCGTACCCCTCGGTTAAATTAGACGTGGGTTTAGTCTGCAAGTTACCGTAGCGAAGATGTGAGAATGAGTCGGGCAGATCTATGGTAGCGCAAGTACCGGCCAAGGTACCGTACATATATATAGCTGGCGGGAAATTGTGACACGGCCAAGGTCGTGGTTGCGACACGCACAAGGTCGCGGTTGTGACACAAACACATTTCAAAGTACATATATACACGCTATGTCCCACTTGGAATCTTCCCCATAAACCACTCACTTGTACTTGGACGCTGTGTGTACTGTACATCTGTACGCCACATTACCGTTTGAGTCGCCACCGTCTTGGGTTGCCCGGATACCAAATGTTAAACGGTCTAGCCAGCGATTAGGCTTGTGAGAGGAGACACCGAGGAGGACGATTGGCTTAGTACCAGGGATTGGAGCGCATTAAACCACTGAACCCGGCCGGTCTCGGACCCACCACGTGCGGCTTAGATGCACCCACAACAATGGCTCGGCCACTTGCCCCATACGACCCGCCCCACAACAACTCGGCAACGATTCTCCTGACGAATCACCCCACTGTGCGTTGCACTGTGCATGGCACCACTGATCGCGTGTCTTTCTAAGTTGCATTTTTCCCAAAGTGTAATTTTTCGTTTCCAGAAACATGCGCTCTGCATTTTGCAAGCGAGCCCAGGCCTTATATTTCGAGGCTTTTAACACTCCATCTCGCACCCCTCCCCCAACGGCACAAACACCACCCCGACACCATGACCAATCTGCCCCTTCTCACCCGAAAAGAGGTGGAGAGCCACAACACCAAGAGCTCGTGCTACGTGACCGTCGACAACCTCAAGGTCTACGATGTGTCTTCTTTCCTGGAGGAGCACCCCGGAGGAGGAGACCTGATTGTGGATTTTGCCGGTAAAGACGTGACGGAGATTATGGGCGACCTGGTGTCCCACGAGCACTCGGAGGCTGCCTACGAGATGCTGGACGAGCTCTATCTGGTGGGAATTCTCGCTACCCCCGAACAGGAGGCCAAGTTGCTCACCAGAGAAAACCGACACGACTTCAAGCTGGAAAAGAACGCCGAAGACGAACTCACTGTCACCACTGACTTCACCCGAGACTACAAGACCAACCAGTTCCTGGACCTCAACAAACCCCTGCTGATGCAGGTGCTGCGCGCCAAGTGGACCAAGGAGTTCTACCTGGAACAGGTCCACAAGCCCCGACATTACGGCAACGGAAGTGCGCCCATCTTCGGAAACATCCTCGAGCCTCTCTCCAAGACCCCCTGGTTCGTCGTTCCCTGTCTGTGGATCCCCGTCGACCTCTACTGCATCTACCTGTCCGCCCAGGGACTGCCGTTCTACTGCATCATCCCCATGTTTGCCTTTGGTCTGTTTGTGTGGACCTTCATCGAGTACGGACTCCACCGGTTCGCCTTCCACCTCGATGACCACCTCCCCCGATACCAGGTTGCGTACGCACTCCATTTCCTGCTCCATGGCGTCCACCACTACCTCCCCATGGACAAGATGCGACTGGTTCTTCCCCCCACTCTGGGCGTCATTCTCATCACCCCCTTCTACTTTCTTGCATTTGCTCTCTTCCCTTACTACTGGGCCTATGCTGGCTTTGCAGGTGCCTTCCTGGGCTACATCATGTACGACTGCACACACTACTTTTTGCACCACATGAACCTGCCTCCTTATTTTAAGGCCCTCAAGAAGTACCATCTGGACCACCACTACAAGAACTACGAGCTTGGATTCGGAGTCACCAGTTCTTTCTGGGACAAGGTGTTCAACACCGAGTTGGTTGAGACCAGTGTGAAGAGCAAGGGCTTGTAAGATGAGCGCAGCGAGTCTTGCTAGGACTTGTAGAGCGTCTTTGAGCGCCTTTCTGCAAGTGTGATGAACGAGTTGGAGCCGGTGATGACCACAAGATTTGTGTTCCAGTTCGTTACAACTGTTGGCGGTTTTTACGCTGGCGGATTCAGTGCTATGCTTCTTTTAGCACATATTTATGAACATATAGGTAAATGGGTGAATGATACTTTACATAATTAATTAATAGTAACACTAGTTACGTCTTTTATAATAAATAGCTACATAGAGCGGTGAACCGGGGGGGAAAGAAAGGAAAAAAAAAAAAAAAAAAAAAAAAAAAACCTTTACACTGCCATTTTCTTGAAAATCAGCTGCTTTTGGGGGATTTTATTATATCATTATAATCTCCTGGTTCTTAAGAGTCGATTTATATTATTTGACATCTTTGACGCTTTACTTCAGATTTTCCGATACTGGATCACTTTAACTCCACATTGGCATGATATGCACTCCACCATACATCATCACCACTGCACAGAATGAAAATCGAGGAGATTGTGGACGAGGTAGAGGAGCTGGTGATTTCGGACGACGACACGTCAGAGCCGTTTCTGAAGGAGAAGCATCTGGATTTGGAGGGCAAGCCCATCAAGAAGCGAGCACCCAAGAAGAAGGAGAGCGAGGAGACCAAGCAGAGGCGAGATGGGGTGGAATCTCGGTTCAGGAACGACAGATCCAGTGATCTGAACCAGGACAAGATTGAGGAGGTTAAGGAGGACGACAAGGACAAGAGTGGGGCCACCGAGGATCTGAAGGAAGAGTCGGAACCAGAGGAGGACGATCTGACCCAAAAGTTCGCCCCTGAAGAAGAAAAGAAGCTGGTGGATGAAGCTGAGGAGTTTAAGGCTCGAGGCAACAAGTGGTTCAAAAAGGGCGATAACGACAGTCTCAAACGGGCCATCAACAGATACGACAGTGCGCTCAGAACGTGTCCTGTCTACCTGCATCAGACGCGAGCAATCTACTGGTCCAACAAGGCCGCATGTTACATGAAGCTAGGAGACGATCACAAGGCCGTGGAGAGCTGCAATCAGGCCCTAGGGCTCGATCCAGACTACGTCAAGGCTCTCAATCGCAGGGCTGCTGCTAATGAGAAGATTGGCAAATGGTCGAATCTACAGTCTGCCTCAGACGACTACAACAAGCTGGTGGAGCTGTATGGAAAAGATGGCAACTACATAGAGCGGGACAAGGCTCGCAAAAACGGCATTGCTCTGGAGTCTCGCATCAAAACGGCCGCTACTGCAGAAACCCAGGAGATGCTGGGTAAACTGAAAGACATTGGCAACTCCTTCCTCGGCAAGTTTGGCATGAACACCGACATGTTCAATATGGCTCCCGACGGAAAGGGAGGCTACAGCATGAACTTTGGAGGAAATCAGCCTCCCAAGGAGTAGACCCAATGGTGGAAAGAGTGTAAAATAACGCAAATTAGATATTTATGTGCCCAAGGATGACTACAAGCATGCTGCAAAACGAGTATTGCTGCTAGATATGTAGTATGTATTCATTTTGTTAATAGCGCTATGTACAAAGTATTGTATATACATTTGCATCGCTCAGATGATGTTCAAGTAAGACCTTTGACTAGCTTGAGAGCGAAATCGAACTGAGAGGAACTTTTGCTTGAATCTCCTTTAGTAACTCCGTTCATCTTAACATCTCCATCTTCATCTTTTTCTTCCCCGTCTTCCTCCTCCTCTTCTCGGTATTCAGGATCCTCATCCTCATCATCAATAACCTCCTCACGTTGTTCATGCTCCTCTTCCACAATCTCACCTTCACCCTCTTCATCCCCCCGTGTATCCCTCTCTGTCGTTTGCTTTGCTCGCCTTGATCTATGAGCCTTCGCTTTGGTTTTACGACGGTTTTTTCCCTCCCCCTCTTCTTCTTCTTCTTCTTCTTCCTCTTCTTCTTCTTCCCCCTCTTCCTCCTGCTCTAACGGCTTGTCGACAGCCATGCCCTTAGGCTCTTCGCGGTCGCCGAAAATCTCACGCAGCCTCTCCCGGGTCCGACCCACATCCTTGTACTTATCTCCAATCAAGTCAAAGTCTACCATGAAGGTATCATACCTCACCCGATGAGGAACGGGGACGGTGGAACAGCTCTTGACAGCCGTGCTCAACATATCATCAATCATCTTCTTCACCTCAACCATGCATTGAAGGGGTATCTGGGGAGAAACCAGCGTGGTAGGCTCGATGTTGACTCCATCGACCCGTCGTCGCTCGTGAATCTTGTCATAGACTGCTTTCTGGTAGCTTGTGTCAAGCCCAATCTGCAGACTTTTGAGTCCGTCCATGAAGTACTCCTCCGACTGTTCTTCTGAAACAGGAGGAGTTTCGTCCGGCACCTTCTCTTGGACGGTATCCTTCGTAGTCTCCTCCTCGCGAACGTACAAGTTTGGATCGTAGTCATCAGGGTTGGGATCGATCAAATCCATGATTTGCATGTACTCGTTGCGATCAAAGAAATCCTCCTCCGTGACAACCACGGATTCGTTAGCCGGCTGAGTCGCCGGGGAGCCGGTAAACTTGCTAACGGTCTCCTGGAACACTCTGTCGAACTCTTTGCAATTTGCTTTTCTGAATTTCGCAAGCTGTTCTTCACTCATGCCCTCCAAATTCTCGAGCTCCTCCAGCTTGACCATTTTTTTTAAGTCCTTTTCGCTGGCGGTGAAAATGTGCTCTTCAACCTGGTACCCCTTAACGACATCGATAGAGGGCGAAGCTACACTGATCCAATCAGAAGCTCTCAGTTGCGCCACTTTCCGCGCAATATTGGAGGTGAAATCAAAAGGAGTGCCTTGCTTGGGAAGACTCAGCATGCAAGCCGGAGGAGTTATCCGTTCCTTGGCTTCTAACCCTCCCGCTGTGGGATCCTCCACATCCACATACTTGGTAGCCTCGTGACCAATAATAGGATATGGCTTGGGCCAAGAACCCCACTGGATAGCAGGAAGGATTCCGACTTGCTCTCTGCTGTTTCTTTTGCCCTTGATTTCGCACTCTCGACGCATGATATAACTCCATCGCAGATGGTAGGCGAGATCCTGGGCGTATTCAGCCTCCAACCTGTTCATGATCTGTTCTGCCTCAATCAGAGGATTTTCAGCCTCGTAGAACTTTCTGTATTGCGCCAATTCGGGGTTGATAAATGCTTCCTCTGCTTCCTCCATTCTCGCTTCTCTCCTTCCTTCTCCTTCTCCTTCTTCCTCCCCTTCATACGCCTCTTCATTCTCCCCTTCAGCTTGGTTCTGTGCCTCCACATTCTCCCTGTATGCCTGTTCGCTGGCCTCTTGAAACTCCATATCTCGAACCAGTGCTCGGATGTCCAGTTTGAACAGGGACCTCCACATTTTGAGCGTGCGACACCGCTTCAAAAGCGAAACCGCCGTCGCAAAGTCCACCCACCCTTTGTTGATGGCATCTTCACACTTGCTGATCTCACTGAGTTCGCGCCACGTGATCTGATTTCTCAACGACTTGTGATGGTTCTTGTACAAATCACGTAACGAAATCAGCAGCCGGTCAGGCAACAGCCGTATGCTAACACCTCGAGTGCCATACATGACTCTGAATTGAGTCTTGTCTGCGCTCTCGAGGTCCCGTTCAAGCTTGGGCTCGGGCAGCTCGATCAGCTTGGGGCGCCCGTACACCAGCTTCCTCTGTGTCTTTTGTGGAGCCCGCGTCATGAGCTGTGCTGTGTGAGATTGGAGATGATCTATGATATCAAGTACAAAATATAAAAAGATTGTGCATATACTTAATCAGTAGATAGGGTTCACGAGGGTGGAATAGGAGAGTCGATGTAGAATGACGGCTGTTGGACATGGAGCGGATTGGCCAACTGTCACGTGATCCTTAAGAGGGGAAAAATTGGTTTCCGGTTTTTCCCGTTCCAAAAGTATCCTTTTACGGCGTTTTGGACAGACCTTTAGTTCTTATTAGTAAATGTTAACTAAAGTCTACCCAGGCCAACTAAACCCAACTACTTGTAGTACGAACAATACATGACATGACACACTATTGCCACTGAAATATACAGGTCGTACACACCGTACCGTCATATCCGCATCCATTAAATAGTTAGTACAATCCCATCAATCGGCTCGTAGCAAATTGACAAAGTTCTTGTAGTTGAAGTCCGTCTTCCCGCTGAAGCCACTCTTGACCGTAAAGTCTTCGAGCGAGTCCCGGGCCTCCTCCTCGCTCATTCCCACGCTCATGAGCTCCTGCACCAGATCCTCCACGTTCACCATGCCCGAATCATCATTGGAAAAGGCACTGAAGGCCGTGAGCAGATCTGTCTTGGAAGACAAGTCACACAAGTGACTGGACATGCCTGTGAGAAATGAGGCGAATGTGAGAGGCTGGGGCAGCAGATTCAGCATCTCCTGGACCTCTCCGTCCTTTGGATCTCGTCCTAGAGACACCAGCATCTCTTCCAGGTCTTCTTCATTGACAATTCCATCAGCATCCTTGTCGAGCAGATTGAACGCTTCCTTGAGCTCCTGGATCTGCGACGGTGACAGCTGGTTGAACTGGCCCGAAGTCGTTCGCTTGGCCTTGCTTGGAGCGCCGTTTGTATATGAAAGTCGCGGTTTGGCCATGTCAGTGGGCAGAAGATGTGTTGCTTTGGGTGTTGTATTTGTGTCACTGGCAGGAGTTTGGGTTTGTGTCTCCGGTTTTGTCCGTCTGTTTCGTGTCTGTGTCTATCTTGGTAGACCTCTTGATGATCGTCGTCTTGCTGCACTGGCTGCCAAATCACCCCTTCAATATAATTCAGACTGTATAGACTGTATCCCCTTAACTTAATAAAGTAAACAATGTCACGTGTAATGTGCATGTTAGATGCAAAGAAAACCAAACCTCCTAACCTTATAATATTGGGAGACGACTGGCAAGGTCACTAATAGACAGCTTTTTGATGTTGACTAGTGGGAGTTGTTTTATCTTACAATATGTTTATATTTATTTATTTATTTATTTATTTATTTATTTATATATATAAATGTACTTGTGTCAGTACCAAGTTTCATATACAATACTCTTCCCTTGTCAACTTGCCTGGAGATTTGATCAATCAGGTGTCTGCGCACTGTTCCTAGCAGGAGTTGATCTGAAACAAACTCCCTTATGACATTAGGTTCTCCATGATATACAAGATCTATTAGTTTAGTTTATGTACTCCGTTTATACAGGTACAAGGAGCGCTGAGTCGCTCGAAAATGCGCTGACATCCATGCTCGCCATTGTCTAGTTATCCTTCTCAATAGTCACCTTCACCTTTTTGTTCTTTCGAGCAGCCTTGGCAGCCTTCTTCTGCTGCTTCTTGGAGGGCTGGGGCATCTCGACCTCAGACTCGGAAGCAGACATGTCGTGATCGCTCTCGGGAATGGGCAAGGCCTTCTTAATCTCCATCTCCACGTCCTCCTGGACCATGACACAACAGTTAAGTCGGTCTCCGGTGTTGTAGGCACCCACAGTCTCTCGAGTGTTCATATCGGTGATGACAAGCTTGGAGTCGGTGGAAACCGAGGTCATGTAGACGTGTCGATCGGCCTCGGGAACATTATCGGGGATGAGGAAGGAAAAGTCCTTGACTCGGGTAGCGTGGGGCTGGACCTTGAAGGAGATGGTATCAATGTCTTCGTCCTCCGTCTTGAACTCGTTCTTTGTGTCGTTGGTCTTGCCCTCGAACTCGTTGGTGTCCACAAACCGGATCACGCCTCGCGAGTTGGAGAAGGCAAAATATTCCTTTCCGTCGATGGACACGTACTCGGAGTGGTACAGACCATCCTTGGGCGATCTGATGGCTCCAATGAGTTTGCCGGTCTCGGGCGAAAAGAAGGAGATGGACGTGGTGTAGGTAACTGCGTAACGATCTCCAGCCAGGTTCCACGCCACCTTGAGCACGTCGGGGTAGCAAGCCATGACAGAGGCCTTCTTGGCGGTCATGAGGTTCCACAGAATCAGCTTTCGGTCCTGTCCAACCGACAGAGCCAGTCGGCCGGTGGGGTGAACAGAAATGTCGACAACACCGACCTTGGCCTTGCCCACGGCGGCTCGAGCGTGTCCCTTGAGCTCTGCCAGCACCTCCCAGTCCTTGGTTCGCAGCACAAAGATCTTTCCGTCTTCTCCGGCAGTCAACAGCCACTTTCTCTTGTAGAACTCGAGAGCAGTGATGGTTCCCGAGTGATGGGTCAGTGTGCCGAGCTCTTTTCGCTTCTGAAGATCGTAGATTCGAATGTTCTCGTCAGCCGATCCGGACACAAGATACCGTCCAGAGGTGGCCAGACACTTGATGGACTGAATGTGAGGAGTAAAATGGAAAATGGGCGAAAAAACAGGCGAGGTGCCCAGCAGGAGAGAAACACAAAAGAGATTGTGTTCGTAGGAACCTGTCACGATTCGAAAAGCAGGATCAACTGACGACGTGGAAGAGGAGGTGCTCACAATCGTCTTGGACAGGTCGGCTGGGGTCTCCTCGACGGGCTTTTCGGCCACAATTTTCTCCACGGCCTCCGCGGCCATCTTGACCTGCTTCTTGTCGGATTTGGAGCCCTTCAGGGCGCTCTTGGGCTTGGTGATTTTGCTCATAGTGTAGTTAGGATGATGTGAATAGTTCGCACACAGAGTTTCAAAAATATTTGAAGTCTGCATGAATGTGTATGCTGACTAAGCGAGGGAGTGGGGCCGGGGGATGGGGAGAAAATCGCCATAGATGCAACGAGGCCGCGGGTCGGGACTTTATTGCATTAAATGGGATAAATTTGGATCGGAGAAAAGGAGCGTTGACCATTTTGGAGCGACTCTCAAGTGACCAAAAAGCCAACTAATGTTTCATCTAACTTATGCTTTTTACTTGGGTGTGTAGTTTGGAGAATGGCGCCATATTTAGACGTCAAATTTCAGCTGTTGCCTACATTGCGGCTGAACTTGAAGGAGAACTTGAAGTCGTCAGAAGTTCAGATCTGAAATATTAATAGGTATTTAGTGTCTGCTGGTCAATCAATGTCACGTCTGGGATTGTTTTCATACCAATATATTCGTATTTATACGGATTCTGGTTTATGAATGATCCATGTTCCAAATAATGGTAATTAGTTGAGATTTAGTTGAACCAAAATGTGTGCTAGGGGTGCATTTTCCATGATCCCGACATGCTACAATTATTATAGTTGCATCATTTGATAGCTGCAGCCTTGAAGAGTATTATTATGTGAGGAAAACATACTCCTTTTCATCACTATTTCAAGTTATATCCACTTTTCCTCAAAGTGTCTTCCTCCTATTACTTGACATTTACTTATACCCGAACGGTTAACCTCCCAGCAGACCCAACATTGGCAACATAGTATGTACCTTCTTGCATACGAGTATATGTACTCATGTCGACGTGTAGAGTGATTACGTGATTGGACAGGTTATGTGAGTCACGTGACCATATCCATCCGAAAGCCGCCTCTCAAAAAGTGCTATTTGTAGTATGTAATACTATTGGTGCTTTTGAAATCTGTGCCAATCAGTGAGCAGTCATCAACTAGAACTTCTAAAATGACGATTGAAGACGACTTAGCCCAACGGTCCGGGTCTAGCAGTAGTCGTAGTCAGTTGGGCGAAAATGGGTCTTTTTGCCATTTTTCAAAGCTCAATCTGCTTCAAAATGGGCTATCAATCACCCGAAGCAGTGTCGATGTCGATATCTAGCCCGGAACATCCTCTTTTGGCCCGCCCTTGGCACAGGTTGTACGGTGAGTCATGTAACCTTTCTCCAGTCTAAACTCAATTTAGGCACTCAAATCTTTCTATACAAACCTCCTCTCCAAGCCAGTCGCATCTCCAACTACACACCACCATGTTTGCCGAGGGTCAGATCCAAAAGGTCCCGATTCTGGGCAAGGAGTCCATCCACATTGGCTACAAGATGCAGGACCACATTGTGTCTGAAATCGTGGCCAACATCAAGTCGTCCACCTACATTCTGGTAACCGACACCAACATTGAGGATCTGGGCTACGTTGAGTCTCTTAAGACGAAATTCGAGGCTGCGTTTGCCAAGGACGGCATCAAGAGCCGACTGCTGACCTACACCGTTGCGCCCGGAGAAACCTCCAAGTCCAGAGCCACCAAGGCCGCCATTGAAGACTGGATGCTGTCCAAGGGCTGCACCCGAGATACGGTGATCCTGGCTGTGGGAGGCGGAGTGATCGGAGACATGATCGGCTACGTGGCCGCCACCTTCATGCGAGGAGTGCGGTTTGTCCAGATCCCCACCACTCTGCTTGCCATGGTTGACTCGTCCATTGGAGGCAAGACCGCCATTGATACCCCTCTGGGCAAGAATCTGGTCGGCGCCTTCTGGCAGCCCGTCAACATTTTCATCGACACTTCTTTCCTCGAGACTCTGCCCGTTCGAGAGTTCATTAACGGTATGGCGGAGGTCATTAAGGTGAGTATAGAATCAACCGCATGCAGTGCAGATTGGCAGTTAGGTGCGATGTGTGATAGTTGCTTTGATTCGACAGTTGGTTGGTGCTGTTTGGGTTGTTCTACAGGTCTGTGGTTGAATAATCGACTGGTATAATTTCCCGATCGGATCTACACTTTTACAAGTACTATCTACAGCTGCTGATCTAATCACAATACTGTACAGCAGCACCCACTGTACTCCTCTTTTCTCTAGCTAACACAGACTGCGGCATTCTACGACGCCGAAGAGTTCACACGGCTCGAGTCCGCGTCGGAAATCTTCCTGTCCACTATCAAGAAGCGAGACGCCAAGGACCCCCGACGAGTCGATCTGTCCCCCATCACCGACACCATTGGCCGAATTGTTCTCGGTTCTGCTAGAATCAAGGCCGCCGTTGTCTCTGCCGACGAGCGAGAGGGCGGTTTGCGAAACCTGCTCAACTTTGGCCACTCCATTGGCCACGCCTACGAGGCCATTCTCACTCCTTACATTCTGCACGGCGAGTGTGTGGCTATCGGTATGGTCAAGGAGGCCGAGCTGTCTCGATACCTGGGAATTCTCTCTCCCGTTGCTGTGGCTCGTCTGGCCAAGTGCATCAAGGCCTACGAGCTGCCCGTGTCTCTGGACGACGCTACAGTCAAGGCCCGAAGCCACGGCAAGAAGTGCCCCGTTGATGATCTGCTTCGAATCATGGGCGTCGACAAGAAGAACGACGGCTCCACTAAGAAGATTGTCATTCTGAGCGCCATTGGCAAGACCCACGAGCAGAAGGCGTCTTCTGTGGCAGACAAGGACATTAGATTCGTTCTTTCCGAGGAGGTCATTGTCGGAGAGGCTCCTGTTGGCGACAAAAAGTCCTACACCGTCACTCCACCTGGATCCAAGTCCATTTCCAACCGAGCCTTTGTTCTGACTGCCCTGGGTAAGGGTCCTTGCAAGCTGCGAAACCTGCTGCATTCGGACGACACCCAGCACATGCTCGAGGCCATTGAGCTGCTTGGTGGCGCATCGTTCGAGTGGGAGGCCGACGGTGAGACTCTGCTTGTCACCGGAAATGGCGGCAAGCTCACTGCTCCCGCCCAGGAGTTGTACCTAGGAAACGCCGGTACTGCTTCTCGATTCCTTACCACCGCTGCTACTCTGGTTCAGAAGGGAGACAAGGACCACGTGATCCTTACCGGAAACAAGCGAATGCAGGAGCGGCCCATTGGGCCTCTTGTGGACGCTCTTCGATCCAACGGAGCCGACATTGCTTTCCAGAACGCCGAAGGCTCTCTCCCCCTCAAGATCGAGGCCGGTGTTGGACTCAAGGGTGGCTTGATTGAGGTGGCTGCTACTGTTTCTTCTCAGTATGTCTCTTCTCTACTTATGTGTGCCCCCTACGCACAGACACCCGTCACTCTGTCTCTGGTTGGAGGCAAGCCCATCTCGCAGTTCTACATTGACATGACCATTGCCATGATGGCCGACTTCGGTGTGGTTGTCACCAAGGACGAGACCAAGGAGCACACCTACCACATTCCTCAGGGTGTGTACACCAACCCTGAGGAGTACGTGGTGGAGTCGGATGCTTCTTCAGCCACCTACCCTCTTGCTTACGCTGCCATGACTGGCCACACCGTCACTGTTCCCAACATTGGCAGCAAGTCTCTGCAGGGAGACGCCCGATTTGCCATTGATGTTCTCAAGGCTATGGGCTGCACCGTTGAGCAGACCGCTACCTCGACCACTGTTACTGGTGTGCCCAACCTCAAGGCTATCGCTGTTGATATGGAGCCTATGACTGACGCCTTCCTCACCGCCTGTGTCGTTGCCGCTGTGTCCGAGGGCACCACCGTCATCACCGGCATTGCCAACCAGCGAGTAAAGGAGTGCAACCGAATCGAGGCCATGCGAGTGCAACTGGCCAAGTACGGCGTCGTTTGCCGAGAGCTTGAGGACGGCATTGAGGTCGACGGAATTTCCCGATCAGATCTCAAGACCCCCGTCTCTGTGCACTCTTACGATGACCACCGAGTTGCTATGTCTTTCTCGCTGCTCTCTTCTATCATGGCTGCTCCCGTGGCTATTGAGGAGCGACGATGTGTCGAAAAGACCTGGCCGGGATGGTGGGACGTGCTCTCCGGCGTGTTCAACGTTCCTCTGGAGGGCGTAACGCTGGCCAAGACCGTTTCCAAGGCCGAGTCCGGACTTTCCAAGCCCTCCATCTTCATTGTGGGCATGCGAGGTGCCGGAAAGACCCATCTGGGCGCCCAGGCCGCCAACCATCTTGGCTACGAGTTCATTGATCTCGACCAGCTACTCGAAAAGGATCTGGATACCACCATTCCTCAGCTGATTGCGGACAAGGGCTGGGACCATTTCCGTGCCGAGGAGCTGCGTCTGCTCAAGCAGTGTCTCAATGACAAGTCCGAGGGCTACGTCATTTCCTGCGGTGGCGGAGTTGTTGAGACTCCTGCTGCTCGAGACGCTCTTCAGACCTTCAAGGGTGTTGGTGGTATTGTTCTGCATGTCCACCGACCCGTTTCCAGAATCCTCGAGTACCTCAACAAGGACCAGTCTCGACCTGCATTTGTGGACGATCTGGAGGCGGTGTGGCAGCGACGAAAGGAGCTGTACCGATCTGTCTCTTCCAATGTCTTCTTTGCTCCTCACTGCGACTCTGCCGAGGCCACTGCCAAGGTGCAGCAGATGCTGGGCGCCTTCCTGGACCGAGTCACCGGCAAGTCCGAGTTTGTGATTCCCCACAAGGACCAATTCACTTCCTTCCTGTCGCTAACCTTCCCCGACGTGTCTATTGCCGCAACCATGCTCCCCTCGCTGTCTGAGGGTTGTTCTGCTCTGGAGCTGCGAGTCGATCTGCTCAATGAGAATGACGAGGCCATTCCCTCCGAAGAGTACGTTCTCTCTCAGTTGGCGATTCTGCGACAGAATGTCGACCTCCCCATTCTTTACACGGTGCGAACCAAGGCTCAGGGAGGCCGTTTCCCCGACGACAAACCTGTGGAGCTGGCCAACCTGGTCAACCTGGGTCTCAAGACCGCCGTTGAGCTGCTGGACGTTGAGCTGACCTACCCTGCCGAGCTTGTTTCGTCCGTCGGAGCTTCCAGAGGCTACACCAAGCTGCTGGGCTCTCACCACGACTTTCCCGGCGCTCTCAACTGGTCTTCTCTCGAGTGGGAGAACATGTACGCCCGAGCCGAGGCTGTGCCTGTGGACGTGGTCAAGCTCGTCGGTATGGCCAAGTCTTTCTCCGACAACTTTGCTCTGGAGAACTTCCGAGAGGCCCACACCTCTTCTCCTCTTCTGGCTATCAACATGGGCTCCCATGGTCAGCTGTCTCGAGTCACCAACACTCTGCTGACTCCCGTGACTCACGCTGACTTGCCTGTGGCTGCTGCTCCTGGCCAGCTTTCCGTGGAGGAGATCAACCAGACCCGGTCGACCATCGGCATGTTCAACAAGAACCTGTCCTTCTTCATTGTCGGCACTCCCATCGGCCACTCCAAGTCGCCCATTTTGCACAACACCATGTTCAAGAAGCTGGGTCTGCCCTACGAGTACTCGCGGTTCAAGACTGATGATGCTGCTGCCGTCAACGCTAAGGCCCGTGCTCTGCTTGCCCAGGGCAACCTTGGAGGTATCAGTGTGACCATTCCTCTCAAGCAGGACATTATTCCTTTCCTTGACGAGGTGTCTCCCCTCGCTCAGCAGATTGGAGCCGTCAACACCATCATTCCTGGACCTAACGGGACTCTCAAGGGCGACAACACCGATATTCTCGGTCTGGTGAACGCTCTGACTCGGTTTGGAGCCAACTCGCTGGACAAGAAGACTGCTCTGATTGTCGGAGCCGGTGGCACATCTCTGGCTGCCGTGCACGGACTGCGATCGCTCGGCTTCGCCAAGATTCTCATTGCCAACCGAACTCTGTCCAAGGCCGAGGCCATTGCTGACAAGTTTGATAACGTGGAGGCCGTGACTTTGGACTCGTTTGTGGCCAACAAGTACACTCCGTCTGTGATTGTGTCTTGCGTGCCAGCCACCACTTTCTCGATGCTGGATGAGTCCAACAAGCTGGTGTCTGCCGCTCTGGCTGCTTCTCCCAAGGGTCTGGTTCTTGAGGCTGCCTATTCTGCCGAGGCCACTCCTCTGCTCAAGCAGGTGATGGACGTCGAGGGCTGGGAGTTCATCTCCGGGCTCTACATGCTCACCGAGCAGGGCTTTGAGCAGTTCCGGCTGTGGACCGGAATTCCCGCCCCCAAGGAGGTTGGAGAGAAGGCTGTTCTTGGTAACTAACCGAGACATCAAAATGATTGTATAAACTAAAATGTGTATTGACTGAACGTGTATGTACTGTATGTACTGTACTTGGCGTTGGTCTAAGACTTGTGCCAGGGGTTTTTCCGCAAGCAAAGAGTGAACAAGGAACGAACTAACCAGCTGCCATGTGCGATACCAAAAAAACCCTTATGTATGTTGTTTTAAAGGGGATTTGGTGATGGACTGGTTTTTCCTTGTACAGTAGTAGTACAGTATGTACTGTACTTATGTAAATGTTCTGGTACACACAGAGAGCAATTATCGGGCATTTGAAGAGGTGAAAACTGCTGCTTGTATGTTCGTCACTATCTTTATTTTGATTGAGTGACACAAGTACTTGTACGAGTAAAATACTTGTAGATGTAATTTTTTTCTACATAAAACAGATGCTTGATTGTTGTTTTTTTGTTTTTTTTGTTGGTTTTTTTTTTTTTTCTGCGTTGTTTTTTATGTATCGTATTTAGTTAAACCTTTCCTAGCCGTTATCACCACCTTTTGTTAACTCGTCGCTATTTCCGCACCACCCAACGACATGTTCGATAATGTAATAACGACACGCTAACGGCAGTCTAAGGTGTTATCACGAGCACTGGTACCTGCTAGAACCACTCGGATAATGCGCGAGTAGAATAGCCCGTTTGGACTGGCGGCAAAGCAGGCGGCTATTGCATCCACTGTGAACATGAGTACGTCAGGGCGCATCTTCAACCACTCCTGTCCATCGACCGCCTCCTGTCCACCCTACACCATTTGGTCACTCCACCATCAATCACTCCACCATCAATCACTCCTCCATAAATCACTCCTCCATCAATCACTCCTCCATCAATCACTCCTCCATCAATCACTCCTCCAATCGCCACAGTCAGTCACCCCCTCACGCCAAACACTACCTCTTTAGGACTATCTACTGGACCCACATGGATGAGGCACGATAAGACCGCAGACCCAACCTCAACAAAAAAAAAAAAAAGAGACCCTCAACCGGCACCCCCAAGAAGAACACAAAGAATCCCCATCCCCGCCGCAACCGGTCTTATCTCCGCTTCGCTACTGCGCCTCCAAATGCTTCCTGCTCAATCCTTGCTCCAACACCCCTCCAAAGAGTATTTCCGCAATCTCCGTTGACCCCCACTTTGGGTTCCCCTCACTAAACGGGGGAACAGATGATCTCAAAAAAAAGGGACAAAAAAGAGGGGAAAATACAGAGGCATTGACTGAGTCATACTAAGAATGCAGTATAATCGCATACAATCACGTACAATCACGTACAATCACGTACAATCACATACGATATCTGACCCGGACATGATCCAACAAATGTCTCCTGAACCCTCCACCGGCTCCCTATGTGCTTAGTAATAAATACGAACCAGGTTCCAACCTAATATGGCACCATTTGCGATCGACTAGTACAGTATTATACAACCTCTGATTCTCAATTAATGTAAATGCTAAATAAATATGTATATGCTGGTGAATCCCTCTATGAGTTCTGGTGAACCTGGGAAACACAAATGGTGGTGTCGTCGTTCTTGCCGCCCATGGCAAAGTCGTTCTTCTGAGACTCCATGTAGGGACAGATGGCAAAATTGTCGTTGGCCACGTCCAGAGCCCGAGCAAGCAGAGCATCCGCGGCGGTCTGCAGAGGACCCCGCTCGTTCATCTTACCCTCGGCCATGGCATCGTACAGAGTCTTTTGGATCTCCTCGGGCCACAGGTTGTCGGAAAGACCGTCGGAGCACTGGACAATGATGTCGCCAGGCTGGACCGGCACCACGGAAATCAAGTCCCGGTTGGTGGAAGGGAACCCGGGAGATCGGGTGCCCAGCATCTTTCGAGAATTGGTCTTGTTGGTGAAGATGGCCTCGCCGTCCCGGTAGACCCACATCTTGGAGTCGCCGATGCTGGCCACAATGAGGTTGTTGCCGGCCAGGCACGAGATGAGAACGGTGGAGGAGCCCTCGAACTTGAGCTCATGCATGGTCTTGGTGGCGTATTCAAAGGCATCGTCCAGGGCGGAAATGAGGTACTCGGAGACCTGTTCGGTCTGGTCCACGGCTTGCTGGTTCTCGGGATGCAGCAGCTCGACCTCGAGCATGGACAATGTTCGCAGCAGCATCAGCTGGGCCCATAGGCCTGCGTGGCCGGCCTCCTTGTCGTTCCAGCCAGAGACGCCGTCGGCCAGCCCGATGAAGTCCTTGGAGATGAGCGCTACGTCTTCTCCGTTTCTTAGCAGCTCTGTCTCTACCGAGGGCATCCACTCGGTCTCTCCGATCCCTCGCACCAGCGATCGGGGGCATGCTTCTCGGATGACCTCTTCGGGCACGTTTTTGTACCTGTAGTGGGCGGCCTGAGCGGCGGCGGTCTGCACAAACAGCGCGTCTCGGCGGATGGGCGCCGGGGTGGGGTGGAAGTGCGGGATCTGCGACGACATGGGCATGGAGGTGTAGGAGGGCGAGATGGACTTGAGGGAGTGCATTTCCTTCAGCTTGTCGGAGAGCCGGATGGGGTTTCGCGTGGCCACGGGCTTGGACTTGGGCTGGCCCCAGAATGAGCGCAGCAGCTTGGAGACATTGTCCTGGTCCAGGAGCAGCGAGAAGAATCTGGCGTTGGAGGCGGTTGTGAGGGGGGACAGGGTTGAGAGGGTAGAGCCGGTGGTTCGCGTACAAGAGCGTAGCATGTGGGGAGTGAGGGTGTATGGGTGAAGGGGAAGTGTTGTTTAAGTACTATGACAGCGTCTGTATCTATGACTCCTCGATGTTGTTGTTGAGGAGGGGAGTCGGCGGTTGAGCGGCGTGGTTGAGCTGTGTGGAAACGGTTGTTTGTGTGTTGGTGTTGGTGTGAGTTGGTTGATACACAGTGTAACTTGTGTTTGTCTTGTAGTGGTGAGTCGAGATGAGTTAAGATGTCGTCCGTCTATGTTCGTCCGTCGATGTTTGTCCGTCAGTGTCACTCAATGCAGTTGTTAGTATGGCGTGGTAGCAAGGTGGCAAACAAGTTGTATATAAAAGACAGGGTGGTGAGCCTCCAATTGATTATATGTACGTGGACTAGAAAATATAAGCGCGGGCCAGCCAGCGGAAGTTTAACCCAAGGTTAAATTGACACCGCCATAAAGTGCAAAAAGTGCAAAAGGTAACTCTATGCCAGCTGCTTTTGAACTGACTTGGTACGTACAAAGTAGATATAAAATGTATAGAGAGAGGGATATACGACGAGAAATGTGGTATTTTTGGAGCTGTTGGGGCCGTTTTAAATTGTTTGACACCCATTTCAGCGTCGAAATCCCGTTTTTATGTCCTCCACGGCCCCATCATCTGGTCGTGTGGCACTGGCCCTCTCCCAACCCAACATTTGCTTCATGTGGCCAGATAAAATTAAGTCCGTCATTAACTTGGGGGTCAGAAAAATGAAAACGAGAAGGAAAAAAAAATGGAAATTAAATAAAAATTAAATAAAAATTAAATAAAAATTAAAACAAGAAGGAAAAAAACCCTTCCACCCCTTGGATAGTGCCTGTGAGGTCAGATGCGCGTATGGAGAGGACTTGGTGAGTATGTTGAACACATGGAGATATCTGAACGGATATAACAGTTGGAACCCCTCTTGGAATAATTAGCCAAAAATAAAAATAAAAAATTACAAAAAATTACAAAAAATTACAAAAAATTAGCCCAAACAATCACCAAACAATAGTGTTAGAAAACTACCAAAAAAATAGAATCAAAAACCTCAAAAAAGTGACATAAAGAACCGCTACAAAAATATAGCATAAAATCCGCCTCAAAATCTCCCCTTCTACATTCTAATCACCACGGAATCTCCTCCCGCTCTAAATCTTCCCCTCCTCCCAACCGGAAAAACACGTCTGGAGCCTAAAAATACTTTTAAATATTAAAAAATTCAACGTCAATCTGGAAGGAAAAACCCAACACCACCAGCACGGCGAATAACGGCCCCTTGTTGGAGCACGTCACAAACGCACGATAAGTCACTGAGTCAGAATCTAGGCTAATATCTGCGATTTAATGCATCCTATAGGCGTCTTGAAACCGCTCCAATGCACGCGACACAAAAACGCCCTGCATTTCTCGTCACTGAGTACAATCTAACACCGTCACTGAGTCGAGTCCACTGTCCCTCTAATTGAATGTACCTCTAATCTGCATATGCACGCTACATGCACCCTGCACGCCAACCTTATCCTGCAGATACCATATGTAACTGAATGTAAGAAATCTGAGTTTGGGATTTTTGGAAATACATTTCCACATGTAACCGGCCAGACCCGTCGTAGCGGGCCAAACACTGGACTGGTTATGCTCGGGAGATGTCCAGTGGGTCCCTTGGAGCCCATTGGGGCCGGATCCTGCAGTTTTGGCCTTTCTTTCGGAAAATCAGACCGGATCATCTATCAAACTCAATTTCCCTGCGTCGCGAGATTTTCCGACTTCGGAATAAATCGGGAGAATACGAGACGACGGTTAGTCAGCATGTTGTATTTCTGGTTAGTCAGCAACTGTGAATCTCCGGCTATAATATATGATGCCAATAGCCGGAGAAGCCCTATACTGCTGACTAACTTGTTTACCGACCGTCGGTCACAGATTCAGATAATTCAATCTCGTTTATTAGTCAATTGCGTGCTACGAGTACACTGGACATTGCAAATGGCTTAGTCAGAGGGGTCGATCGACGGTCATGTGACGGTGGTGTGGCGACGTGACCATGGTAGGTTTACACCTGACCAAATTACAACTATCACATGGCATTAATAATATATTGTAACACTTGTTCACTCCCATTACACATCGAACCTCCGTGTGCTGCTGAGATTTGTAGATAAGCTGACTAAGCTTGGGTGTCGTCGTACGATAATTGTGGGATTGCCGGTAGGGTTGTAACAGAGCAACTCATTGAAATATAACGGATATGCACTATTCGAATATTCGTATAAATTGAATGATTTGACTAGAAGAGGCGTTTAAAATGAATAAAAATAAAAATAAAAATAAAATAAAAATAAAAATAAAAATAAAAATAAAAATAAAAATAAAAGTTAAATTCGAATGATCGACTGATGTGTGAACGTACGAGTACTGAATGGAAGGTGGATTTCCAAACTTGCCCACAAACTCCGATAAAGTTGGACCCTTACAGCCATACAACCGAACATGCACGGTTCGACGGTGATTATTCGTGGGTTTTTATTCCTACTTATTTCTACACGTGATCGACGTCAGCAGAAACAGCCCACTTCTGGCTCGGATGCCATCATCTCTCTCGATCTCTAATCCAGGCTCGCTCTGGACGACTAAGCTGTATGGAAGATCAGGGGTAAAATGAGAAAGAAAAAAAAGTGTTTACGGCTTGGATTCCGACTCCTGCTATAGACCTCCAGAGGGCCTTCTCTTGGCTGCTGAAAGCGTTCTGAAAAGTTTCAAGGTGATTTTTTGCCTGGAACTGGCGATGACTAAACTCCAACTAAAATCCAACTACAAGTACACATCAACGCCCTCTACGGAAACATCACGCCACTCGGGCTAGAGACAAGTCACGTGATTTCAATTTTCTCAGTTGTACAGAATAGGCGCAAAAAATCCCCATATCAACTTTCAAGCTGATCTGATCACATTTGCAGATTCTAGAGACCCCCTTTCCAACACCCACTCCAGGTGTGCTGCTCGGATATTGAGTCGGGTCAGTTGATGGAGAAGGGATAGGGAGATGAATACAAGGATTTATCCAGACTGTAACAGTTGATACCATCAGAAGAACAGTTGCTGTCAAGTTTCACTACTGTACTACAAGCAGGACACCTCGTACATACTGTACTGCCACTCGTAGTAGGAACGACTTGGACGGTTGAGATTGCACCATTGATCTTACACTTGGTTGGATATGGCGTCGAACTGTTCCAAGCAGACTCAATTGAACAATCGACATTGATTGAGTGTCTAGGAGCTGTTGCACCAGAGATATCACGCATCAGAGATATCATTCAATTCTGTCACGTGAAAAAGCCAGGATGATCAGCTTTTTACGTGATGCTGATAGGATAATGAACTCTTCACGTGATACAGTAGGCTTGTCAACTCTTCACGTGGTCCCGGTATCCAAAACAATCACTCTCTCGAACTCTTTCACAGAGTTCCAATGCAAAAAAAAAAAAAAAAAAAAAAAAAAAAACACAAACACAAACTGTCTCCATCATCGGAACCTTGGTGGTTCAGATGAAGTCTTTTATATACGTTGAGTGGTGTTATGGACTTGATATGTTACCTTTAGAGGGTTCTTGGACGCGGTTCTGGACATTGCGACGACTGGGCGATGGCACGATTGGAGATCAATGTCCATGAATAAACGATTGAATGACCTAAGTCAACGACTGAATGATTGCACGATTAACACCAACGACTAACGGCGAACAAATCTCGACTGGATTGATTCTCTAAGAAAGTGTCATCTCGTCTTGAGTTGTGATATCATAGAGATATTCTTGAGATACCAGTGACGACAGGGATCCTTGAGATACCCTACCATTGTTCCACCACCACTGTGTCTTCTGAACAAGCAACTGGTTCGTCAAATCTGTTCTCTTTAAATTCTTATCGACTTTCCGGTGGCCTTTTACTCCACTCTTTCGGACTCTACGAGCACTTCTCTCCTTCATTCTACCACCAGTCTAAAAATACATCTTTTTCTATGGAATCTATGGCAAAGCACCTACAAAGTAGGCAGCTCCTTCAGCTTAAGACACTCGGTTCGCTCTCCCTGAGAACCACCCACAAATGAACAAAAGGTCTGCTGAAGACACTTGCCGGTGCATCCCTGAGGAGTGTAGGGAGACTTTCGGTAGTAGTGGTCGTAGTAGAGCTGTCGGTAGGAGGGGTTCTCCACAATGAGTTTGGCGGCTCGGTGCCAAAAGGTGGCGTTCAGAGGAGCAGTGTCGGGCCATGTGTTGTTGGGGTCGTAGGCATCTCGGGCAGAGTACTCCCAGATCCAGTCCAGCGACTGCTTGGGGGTCTGGGGCTCGAAAACGGGGTAGGAGAAGTTGCCAATGGTCTCGTTGTGCGACTTGTTGATGTCGTAGTCGTACGTCTGATTCAGAGGCGAGTAGTAGTTCTTGGAGTTCATGATCTCGAACGTCTTGGTGTCCACCTCGTAATATCTCCACGCCGGGTTGAAGGAGTCCACGGGAGTCACCGACTGGATGATCCAGCCCACCGAAATGGCCGACTCCTCAGTCCACTTGTTGTTCTCCTCGTAGAAGACGTTGAACTGATCGGCGTGGGTGTGACCAAAGAAGTTGGCGGCAATCACGTGGGGGGAGAACCGTCGAATCACCTGTCGGAACACCTCCGTGGTCCAGGGCACCGCCGCCATCTCCTGGGAGGGCACATGGGCCACAATCCAGGCCTTTTGGCCTTGACGCTCGCACTCCAGCAGCTCGCCCACCAACCACTTGAAGGTACCGGACAGATCCGGCTCGGAAATGTTCCAGAAGTTGTAGTAGTTGGCGCCGTACCAGAAGTTGGAGTCGATGGAAATGACCCGCAGACCTCGCTTGGTGGTGACGGCAAACGAACCGTATGTGTGCTCTGCCTGGGCCTCGGTGGTCTCGTTGATCCAGCCAAAGTCCTTCCACATTTTGGCAGACAACTCGGCGTTCCAGGAAAAGTCGCCGGCAAAACCAGACGAGTTCTGGGCCAGCTGAGCATAGGGATACGAGTCGTGGTTGCCAAAAGTGGGGTAGACGGGAATGTCCTTGAGATACTTCTTCATGAGATAGTAGACCTCCTCCTCAGACTGGTAGGTGTGAGAAAGAGACAGCCAGTCCTGGAGATCGTGGGCCACCATATCTCCGGTGAAAATGGAGAATTCAAAGTCACGTGCGTCGGCCATGGCCCCCACGGTCTTGAGCGAGTCTTCGACCATGGATTCGGGAGCGTCGCAATGGTACGATCCCAGTTTCTGGGCGGGCTGGACGGTATGGTTGAGGCCGGCGGCAATGGCCCGTTTGTTGTGCGATTCGGAGTTGCAGCACATGTAGTCGTCGCAATTGGACTCCAGGCCCTCCTCGTACCGCAGATCCAGATGAAAGTCCGAAATGTGCAGCACGTTGAAGGTCTCGTTGTACGAGGATTCGATCTTGGGGGGGTTTTTGGGCTTTTCGGGCCACCAGGACGAGAGATCAGGCTCGGGCACCTGGACGGGGTCACAGGTGTCGGTGGCGTGCCAATTGCACAGAGCTTGGCCGTCCAGACCAAAGGCGTCCATCAGAGTGAAGACGTTGGCGATATGTTTGCCGTTGTTTCCCTTAGTGATGTCTCGTCCCTGCCACGAGTCGCAATCGTCTTGCCAATTGTAGTGCCAGCACAGCTTGACCAGCAGATCGGGGGTGACATCGGGGGCGGCCAGGTGGATGTACTTGCCAAGATTGATGCCCTCCTGACACTTTGTGCAGTTGGAAGCCTGCGAGTTGTTGAAGATCTTCTGGGCCTCGTTGAAGCCCCATTCGAGAAGCGCCGCGTTGCCCACGTTGGGCACCTCAATGTGATGGGAGGTGGACGAGGAGTTGTCGGCTCGCTTGACCAGACCAGCAGCGGCCAAAAGACCGGTGGAGACTTCCAGGAGGTTGACCATGGTTGAGGAAGGACTTGTTGGTTGGAGAAGGGACAGTGGAGCACCCGTTTCCTAGACTATATACCCTCTGGGTGGTCTGGAGCACGTTTCTCACGCTTCCCACAGCATTGGCCAGAGCCAGAGGGCTTTTCGGGTCTCTGTGACTTTCTTGTTTGGGAATCAAAACCGATATACGGACTGTAGCAAGGTTTTCAATGAGTCTAAAGCGCAGCCAGTCGGCGGGCGACGTTGATGCCAATGCATGCCTAGAATCTTGGCTCTGCAGTCTTTAACGGTGGAGTGGGGGCGTTCAGGGGAGCGTTTCAGCCGCCGGTTGGAGAAGCTTGCATCTCTGTTGAATTGTCCGTCCAAGCAATGGCGACAAACCTCCGCTGATGTTGTCTCACGACCCCGACGAGATGACTCAAATGGCGGATTCAGATTTCAGTCATAGCTGCCGGAAGGAAAAGTTTCAAGAGCTTAGTGCACGTGGTTCCGAAGACTCCGGGGAATTTTAATCATCTTCGTCCCCGTAATGGCTCTATCGCAAGGCACATGGTGCAGCACAGACGTGAGATAGGATTTCGACCGACTCAGAGTTGTCCTACTGAGTCATGCTGAGTCGGGAGAAGCAAGGGGAGCTACGAGTAGTCCAGGAGCTGAGTTGTGAGTGGAAACACTTGGGGCGCTCGGAAAACTTGGAATACCTGAAACGCTTGAAACGCTTGAAACGCTTGTCCCTCCCCCTCCCCTTTCGCTCCTTCCAAATGGCATTGATCGTCCTTCTTGTTTCCACTTAGGTTGAGAGAATTGCCAAATGAGCCGTTTGAGTCAACCTGATTCGAATAGGACGAGAGTCAAACGGAAAAGTGTATCAGAGATGAGATATTGAGCTAGCCACAGTTGCCAGCAGCTATCTCGGGGACAGTGTACAGCAGGCTGTTGTTCAGCAAGCTGTTTGTTCAGCTGACAGTTAGTATATCGGAATAGTGCAATAGGCACCTGATTTTCACACACGCTGCACCCTCGTCTTGTGAAGTCTTCCAACGTTCAGCCAGTCAATAGAATTTCTTTTAACGCTAGTGGATCAACAGGATGGAGCTTTATACGGCGGGGTTTTTTTTGGTGGGTTTCTCGTTTCATGGACGCCATGGATCGCTAGGAAATCGTACGAAAAGACAAGGGAGTGGCCAGTAGTAGGAATGTAACGTGGATTCAACTGTTTGTACGAGTACAGTACATACTTGTACTTGCGCACGGCTTCATTGAGAACCTATCATTGGTGAATATGGATTTTGTACAAGTAGACAGCACGAGTACAGTGCGACAACTTGTTGATTAGGCACGATGCAGAATTACAAACGTCTGTAAAGGTCGAAGAGTAGAAAAAGTACTTCAGCCGGCTCTTTTCCCTCTTTTGCCAATATCTCTCTTGTTAGTGGTCCATTTATTGGCTCCATGGATCGAGAGTTAATAGCGAGTGTGATATGGCATTCATTGGTGAGATTGACGTCGTTGGTGAGATTGACATCGTTGGTGAGATTGTCGTCGTTTATGAGATAGATGTCGTTTATGAGATAGATGTCGTTTATGTGATAGACGCTTATGTGATAATTGGCCAATGACACAGGTGGATGAATAGAAGAGAATGGTTAGATGAGGACGAGGGCAGTGGATGATGACTTTTGAGTGGTCTTATCAACTCCATTCACAGTGAAAGTAAGTACCGTACGAGCACTGGTACCTGTGCCCTCTTGCCTCTTACCTCTTACCCGATGAACTCCAACACTGGTACCTCCCTCTTACCTCTTCCCCATCCACCAATCATCAGTGAGTGTTTCACTCTTTCCATGCATGGTCTTCGCCTAGAATATGTTGGAGATGCGTGCAAACAAGAGCAATGCAATGCTCGATTGTGCTTGTACATCCACCGCAATTGTTGCTATTGTTTGGGAGCGAGTACGGTGGTACGAGTAGTACGAGTTGCAGTATCGTATGACTGCTTCATGGAGCCGTCTGTGGCAGTCCATGGAGCGCAAGCGTCATAGAAGACTTGATTGAGCACTTATATGTCGCATGTCGTATTTTGGACTCGTAGTCGTAGTCTCTGACGTTCCAGACCCTGTCAAACTCTTGTATCATAACAGAGTGCTATTGAGAGGTCTTGTGGGTCTATGGCCACCCCCGCTGCTGAATCAGGAACGGGCGATCCCTCCACGGCTGGATTCAGCAAATGCCTCAGGTCGATCACTTATCTCTTGATTAGCATCTGAGACCAAGCTTCATCGAGTGTCGGTACCATCTGAGACCAATCTCCATCTCCCCGCACAGGTGTTGCTCCAACTGTGAATTGAACTGTGAATTGGCTGTTGCATTGACTGAGAGAAAGTCGTAGTCGTAGAGGGGTTCAGCATTGAACGAGAAAGAACGTCTATTACCACGACTCCAGAACCCACTCGCAAACATCGGTCTCCAACTGCCAACTGCCGCCTGACCCGATCACCAACTGCCAACTGCCGCCTGACCCGATCACCATCCGCCAACGGCTCCACAGATCCACGTTTGCCCATCAGCAACCATGTTGCCGAGCCCAGCAGTCCAATACCAATAGCCCAAGCGTCGCACACTACTTAGACCCAACTCAAACACTAATCAAACAGACCTAACAAAAAGTATCACCAAAAAAAAAAAGCATACGCAAAAAGCATCACCCAAAACTATGACCAAAAAATAGCACCAAAAAAACCCTACAAACCAACCAGCCCACTTCAAGCCGTATATTGGGATACGGTGCGTGAAGAATGTGGGTGCCAGCCGTATGACGCGTATCACAGGAGGCCACTACGGCAGCGTGTCTGCGTTTGTGTCTGTGTCTGTGTGTTTTTTTCGCGTTTTCGCCCGGTCCTCACAGAGCCCGTGTGGTGGCCCCAAAACATATAAGGCCCGCCTGGACCGCCAATATCACCTTGCCCTGCTCAATATCACTTTGCAGGTCAAACTCAACGGGGGCGGAGGGCCCCATCCAGCGATACTCCTTATGCCGAATTCGGAAAGTGTCTCACAGCAAACCAACAATGCACGCCCATCACGTGAATGCCGGCCGAAAAGAAAAGACCGCAAACAAACACACCACCAGACGAAAAACACGGGGGTTCTCCGAAGATAATGAGGAGAGGCTGGCTCCAGCAAGAAATAAAAGGCAAAAATAAGAGAAAAAACACGCAAAGACGCCCTTATTCACGACCACAGACACGCCGCCGTGCCGACTGCCAATAGCAAGGCTGATTGTGGGGCTGAACTGCAGACGGACTCAACATGACATAAGCTTAGTTAGAAGTCAAGGGCAACTGTACTTGGCTAATGTGTAACTAAACCGCAACTAAATAAAACTAAACCGTCAACTACATCGCCTACAAAACGGTCAACTAACGGTCAATAAACCGCAACCAAACAACCGACTAAACTGTCGCTAAACCGCCAATCATTTGTCAAGGATAACTCCACTCAATGCTGACTAACTCCTTAAAATCACTAACCATAGAGAATGGCCTCAATCACCAAACCACCAGCGGAAAAAGCGGAGAAATCGGAAAAACTGGAAAACTGGAAAACTGGAAAACTGGAAAACTGGAAAACTGGAAAACTGGAAAACTGGAAAACTTCGAAGAAAAACACACCTGAATATGATCTGTATCATCACATACAGACTCGTACCCATCTCATGTTTTGAACACAACGACGCTATACAACCCAACCAAGGCTACTCACAATCTCAACCAGTGAATGTTGATATATATATATATACTTGTACTAAACGGCAGTTCAATAAAGAACTGCACCCCAGTAAACCCATATGAGCTACTGATTCGCTCATCTACTGGCAACGCCGACACCGGCGTCACTGGTAGACAAACTCATGCAATTATTGACTGACCCGCAGAACCTGACGAACCGCGTCCATAAAATCATCTTCAGTCTCCTGTTGCAGCTTGTCGGACCGCAACTGGGCCATGATCTCCTCCTTAGAACCATAGAGACAGGGCTCCAGCTTGGCCAGAGTGGCCAGAGCGACCCGGAACATGAACGAGTCGCCCTCAAACAGCATCACGTCCCAGATTCGAAATGTGACGTCCAGAGAAAACTGCTCAGTGAACAGCGACATGACCAGCGGCGTCAGGTAGGCCGACGGCGACACGTTCTGCGACTGAAAGTGTCGGTACAGCGACGGCAGCCGGGTGGAAAACACCTTGAGGAACGAGGTGTAGCATGCAATGAGCGCCTGCTCGTCCCGGGCAAACATGGGTCTGATGAGATGGCCGCGGGTGAGCAGGTTCTCCAAGGCGACCCACGACTGGAATGGAGAGCCCAGCGCCAGAATCAGAGATGCTGCCGCACATGCCACCTTGTTGGTATGGGGGTTGGCGTTGGCATCTCGGGCTGCCCAGTATGCGGTGTGGGCCCGCAGAACGGCGTCCAGATCGTCATGGTAGGGACATCCGGCGCCGAACATCTTGAGCTCCGGGTACACCGAGTCGAGATCCACGTCGGCAAACTCGACGGACTTGGTGGCCGATTTTTTGCTGAACTTGTCAAACTGCGGTTGAGACAGCTCCAGCGCGTTGCCAATTCGCTCGGTCCACACAAAGCCTCGCGAGGCCGAGGGCACGCCGGCCCACCACAGCTCGCGGGTGGCTGGGTTTTGGATGGCAGTGTGGAAGTTGGGGATGATTTCCGTCTTCCACTGGAACGCGTTTTCGCGCTGTCGGGCGGCTCGCTCGCTCTGTCGCTTCGCCTCCTTGGCAGCAAGGGCCTTTTCCACCGCCGCTCGCTCCTCAACCATGCGCTGGTACTCGCGCAGATGCTTCTTTTCCTCCTTGCGGTCCTTGGGGGGCAGAAAGGCCGGACGGGTGCAGGACGCTGGGGACGACAATGACGACGCTGAGTGGGTGGAACCGCTGGAGTGGCGGTTCTGGGCTAGCTCAATCTTCTGCTCGTGTTGCAGGGCCTTGGGCGACTCGGTGAAGGCCACCGAGAGCTCCTGGGCTATGGGCGACAGCGAGTCGAACAGCGATGACATGTCCATGATGCGGGGGACGGAGAAGGAGCCGTCGGGGGTGTTGGGGTCGTCGGATGATAGCATGGTAGATGTGGTTGAGTTGGCAGAAGAGTCCATGGCCGGCGACGGCGCGTTCATGTTGTGGTTGGGGTTGTGATTAATGCTATGGAGTTGATGTTGATGTTGTTGTTGTTGTTGTTGTTGTGACTGGTTAGGGAGGTTTGTGTGGGAGGCGGCTCCGAGGGTTTCCAGCGCCAGCTTGGAGGACGACTCCCGGGTCTTTTGGTAGAGCGAGGGCGCTAGGGGGATGTTCCATGCGCTGAGATCGTCAATGTCGATGGCGTCCTCATCGTCGTCGTCAACAAACGACTGGTTTTGCAGAATCTTCTTGCGGTTGGCGGCCTTCTTTTCCTTCTGGGACGGCTGTCGTTTGGGCAGCACAAGGCTTCCGGGCTCAGAAAGCGCCACTGACGACCGCGACTGGAACGAGTAGACAGACGTACGCGAGTGTCGAGGCGACGTTGTGGGGCTGATTGAATGCTGGGTGGAACAGACGGAGTTTTGTCTCGACGGTCGCTGCTGCTGTTGCTGTTGCTGTTGATGTTGCTGATGGGGGGCGGGCACGTCATCAATGGCGTCCAGTTTGGACAAGTTGCTGAGAGACGAGTTTCTGTACTTGTTGGAGGTCTTTTTGTGTTTGTTGGGGCGCGGCGCCGGTGGTTCAGTCGCCAGCGACGTGGTGGAGGACACTCTGGACAGCCGGCCGCTCAGGGTACGGTCCTTCTTGTTGTCTCCGGCCAGGGACACCGACGAGTAGGACGTGAGCGTGGACGTGGACGCGGACGCGAACCGTCGGTAGTTTGTGTTGAGAGACACCTCTTCAAAGTCGCACATTGACATATTGTCCGAGGTGTGAGAGAGTGAGAGAGTGAGAGAGTGAGAGGGTGATTGAGTGATTGAGTGATTGAGTGAGTGGGTATGTATCGGTGTACCGGTTTACCGTGGAGTCTAAGGGCAATGCGTGTAATGTCACCGGGAGCTGTTAACTGAGGAGATGACCGGTGGAAGAGTTGGTTAGGTCGGGGGCCCGGAAATTCCAATCACGAGGAGCTGAAAGGGAGTTTTTTATCCAAACAGAATCTTGGAGTTGCGCGGCCGAATTGGACCACACACATTCCCTTGTCCCAAAAGGGCACGCCCAAATCTAGAAGTTTAATTAAAAGGGGGAGACAAGAATGTCTTTTGGCGGGCTGGTAGGGAGGGACACAAAAACCGGGGTTGAGAACAAAAAGAGGTGTGAAAAACGGATATATGGGTTGCGGGGTCATCATCTGCGTATTGGCCACAATTCCCGCTAGAAAAGTCCCTGGAAACACGCAAAATCGCCCCCCGTTGCGCCCGCCCAAAAAAACTCCTATTTTTGGCCATTGTATGCAAGCCCACTGTAACTGTAATCTTGTTAGATGAGGTCAACGCGAGACAGAAGCCGAGGCAGTAGCTACGTGATCAGGCTAGTGATCAGGTTGGCGGTCCGGTTTTGGGCTCGGGTCACGTGACTCCCTATGTGGGGAGGGGGGGGATTATTTTTCTGCGGTCGTTTGGTCGTTGGTCGTTTGGTCGTTGGTCGTTTGGTCGTTCTTGTGTCGCTCTGTCTTCTATGGAGTTATTCCTCCTTCCTCTTTGGGAAACGCGTATCCTTTTTTTGGACGGCAAAGTTAGATAAAAATTGGGCAAGAAATTGGGACAAAAATCGAACATTGAAATCGAAAATCCGAAAATTACAAAATGGAAAAAACCCAAACAAAATTAAACTCGTCCGCTTCCTATTGTGTGTGCCAAGGGTATCGAAAGATAAACATGCATTTTGCCAAGGGTTCGGGTCCAAGTTCGAGTGAGCGATACGATACAAGAAATTGTGGTGCAACTGTGGATGTAAGGTGGTGTACTAGTACAGTACAGTACCGCGGAGACATGGACGTCTCAGCTCGTCTTTGTCTCAATCCCCGCCGCGCAACTCTGAGTCTACTGCCACTGTAGCTACCAGATGAGCTCCCATGTCAACTCTGAGTTTCCGGTACCTCGCCAGCGGTCGAAAAAGGAAGGCTGGCTGAGACAAGCAGCAGAGATGGACACGGGCAGGTTGCGACAAGCCGCCCAGCAAGCCGCCCAGGCAGACAAGCCTTCGGGTCGGGGTTTATTCCGGCAAGGTCTGTGGAGGGAACGAGTGCTTGTACGTTAGGTAAGAGGTGACTGTTGGTGGTATTGGCACATTACGAGTACGGCACTGGTCGTTGATCGTCGTGATGAACGGCAAGGATGGCTTAACGGTGGTGTACATACGATACAAGTACATGTGTGGATACATACTTGTACTGTATTGTATGCCTGAACTCATAGCAACTCATAGCATCTCGTACTGTATCTGTACGTACTGTATCTGCTCGTACCGTACGTCATACATCGCTTCGGAGACTCCAAGACAATGTCCAATGTTGCTTGCGATAGTCGGCGCCAACCAATAGTGACCAATACACCTTCCTTCCTTTCTTCCTTGCAGCACCGTCGATTCCATGCACCCTTCAGCTGCATTTTTTGCCCGTAGACAAGCTCGGGAATGGAGACGGAGAATGTGCGATGGCGATAGAGAGAAGGGTTGGATTTTCGGAGAACGGCCCCGGCTTTGGAAAAGTCGACAAACTCGACATCCGGCAATCCCGACATCCGAAAAACCCGTAGCGGAGGGTCGGTGTAGATGTGTAGACAAGTACGAGTATGTACTGTACGGGACGAGTTCCAGCTATAACATATACCCGTACGACCGGGTTCCATCACTGGGTAACCAAAGACGCGTACAACTACAGCTGTAGTGGATATGCAGTAATTAGTGCCTTGGTCTAGACTGAACCACTACTTGTAGTGAGTGTGGGTTGGTATGGTGTTGGGCACGCTCTGGCACTGGCACGGAAGTAACTTGATTGAATCGCTTCATCGAATCGCGCAGACTGGATGGATCCACTCAATTGCCCCCGCTCATCCACTCAACTGCCTCCGCTCGTCCACTCGATTGCCTCCCTCATCCACTCGATTACCACTCTCCCTACAAGTTCTAACCCAACCTCTACTCGTACTGTAGACTCAATCCAGGGGTAAACTCCACAGCTGTCAGGCACGCTGCAAACGCTGAGGTGGACTAGACACATGGCTCAAGCATGGTGGGTCTGCGAGGGTCCCACGCGTTGGCATCTTCGCACAGACGCTGGTTCTGGGGTTCACCATTCCTTTTTGGGAAGCGCCGTCCATGGGTACAGTGTGAGACAGGGTAGGACATAGACATGTGCCGTGTCAAGAAAATGTCAAGTAATATCGGCTCGGATATCAACAAGTTTACTTAATGCCTACCGTTCAAGTAGCTCCCAACAATTGTCAACTAAACATACAGTGCCGGTTGCTAAAACAGATTCGAGTATTCACGTCAATATCCGCACTAACCACCTCCAGTAAAAAAACGTACAGTACACGTGGACCCCTTGTCTAGACTGTCCACATACTCCACTCTCCACTTGTCGTATGTTTCACCTGTCACCATTGTTGCATCTTGGAATGACTTGGCGTGAAAAGTGCAGAAAAAATAAAAACACCAAATAAAAAATAAATCAAAACATAACACAAGAATACTGCCAGAAGAGACCGCCGCAGTATGTACACAGCCAGAATATGTACACAGCCAGAATATGTCATGTCAATTGTGCATATACACATGGGAAATAATACTGACTCGGCACCGTAGGCTCAGTGGCAGCTATACACCCCCTATTTTGAGGGTGGAAAAAAACTTCCTCCAACGAACCCTAAGTAAATGCCAACAAATATATCAACTATTTCGGCCACCCTTGGAAGGGTTGAGCTAGACCCAGACGCCAGACGTCCAACGCAAACTGAGTCGCAAATATCCTATAGATCGTCCACAATCGCACATGTCACGTGACAACGCGCACAGACGCGCACTGTATACCTTCGCCTGCGCTTGTTCATGCACTTCTCCACACGCTTGTGTGTCTAGGCCACTTGTTTACATGCACAAGATGAAACACCTTGAACAGATGTATTATACAGGGGCGATATCGCGCGGTTTCCAAGTTTTCTCTACCCGTCTTTAGTCACGAAACATCCCCTGTTTCATCATCTCGGCCAAGGCAGTCTAGCGAGGCTTGGCAGGGACTGAGAGCTGCGCCGTGGTTGGAGTTGTCATGATGCTCTGTGATCCATTCGAAAAGTCTTGCTGCTTCTATAGTCCATTGGGATCGATCAATCAGGATGTCGGTAGTTGGTAATATCGAGTCTGAATCGTGTTCTTTCCAGATTCTGTGACTCGAAGAACATCATCTTCAGATCTACAAGTCCGAATGACGTCAGTTGTCAAGTGAGCGACTGACTGGAGAGAGAGCTCTCGCAAGTCATAGATCTCCCTAGACCTGCTCTAGACCTTCTAGATCTCCTTAGACATCCCCTAGACCTGTCCGCGACCTCAGCTACCTCCCAAACTTCTGTAGATCTACCCTCACTCAATCAAACCAACCATGACGACAAGTCATAACTAGACCGGCGTGCATCTCAGGAGCTCCCATTCAGCATATGCCTCACTATTCAGTCAATTAAGACACAGACCTCTGTCGTTCCTCAGAGCTTTCGCTACACAAGTCTTGCCTCGGCAAAAGTCACTAGATGTTGGCTCGATCTTCGCTCCACTCAGATTCAGATGCGCTCCGATGGTCTATTACTATATACATTACTCGTTATGATGTTTGAGCCGGTTAAACAGCTTCTTGAGGAACGGGGTGTGCTTCTTCTCGTCCTCTGCCGGGGCCTCGGGCTCCGACTTGACATGGCCATCGCTTCGACGGGCCGACTCGTCGTGTGTGAGGTCCGCCAGCGTCTCCAGCACCGCCGTCTGTGTCTTGTCCGTGGGCGCGGTAATCTTCACGTCGTAGATCACCTTGAGGTCGCCAAAGCCGTTTCGGCCCTTGGGGAGACCCTGCTCGGGGATGGCGATCTGGGCGCCGGGCTGGGTTCCAGCAGGCACTTTGATTCGCAGCTTGCCTCCCAGCAGAGTGGGGATCAGAACAGTACCGCCCAGAGCAGCGGTGGTCATAGGAATCTCCTTCTTGTAGACGAGATCGGACCGCTGTCGAACAAACGTCTTGCTGGGCTTGACGTGGATTCGAACCAGCAGATCTCCATTGTGCAGACGCACCGTGGGTCCGGCCTGGGCCTCGGGAGCGTCTCCCATTCCCGACACCCGCAGAATCGTGCCGTTGTCGACTCCGGGAGGAATGTTGATGGAGGTCTCACGGGTCTCTCGAACCACTCCGTTGGAATGGCACGATCCACACTCGCCGTCCTTGGGGATCTGTTCTCCAGAGCCTCGGCAGACCTCACAGGTGGTGGACATTTGGAAACCGCCATTCACCACATGAACACGGGCTCCTGTGCCGCCACAGGCCGAACAGGTGTTTTTCTTAGCATCCTTCTTCATGCCGGAACCCTCACAAGTGTTGCACGAAGTCACCGCCTGGTACTTGAGGTCCCGGGTCACGCCGCGAGCCACGTCTTCCAGCGAAATCTCCACGTTCAGCTGGATATCGTTACCCTCAAACTCCTGGACGTATGGCTGCTGACGTCCAAATCCGCCTCGGCCACCGCCCTGGCCTCCAAACGCCGCCGAAAACAGATCGTCCAGATTGATGCCCTGGGCTCCAAACCCTCCTCCGCCAAACCCGGCTCCTCCAAATCCGGCAAACGGGTTTCCACCGCCGGCAAACGGGTTGCCTCCGTATCCCTGGCCTCCGGGCTGGCCGCCTTCTCCAAACGCCGCGGGACCAAAGGTGTCGTACTTCTTTCGCTCCTCCTCGTTGGACAGCAGCTCGTAGGCCTTCTGGACCTCCTCAAACTTCTTCTTGGCGTCCTCCTCCTTGTTCACGTCCGGATGGTACTTTTTCGCCAGCTGATAGTAGCTCTTTTTGATCTCCTTGGCGCTGGCATTGGACTCCACCCCCAGAGCCTTGTAGGGGTCCTGCATCTGGAGGCGGGCCGAGTGTCGGAAAAAACGCGGGTGGAGTGGTGCTCGGATCGCGGGCTTTCCGGGGCCGCCGAAAGCTGCCCGAACCGCCCGCAACCCCACCTGGGGTCGTGCCTGCTTGAAAATTCGCATTGTCGTGGGCTGTCTAAGTGTCCTTTTTATGTCGTGGCAATTGCAGCAACTCCGATCCACATATATATTTTTCAATTTCCTCCCACTTTGAGTTTATATACATGCACGCCGAACTATCTAGAATTCCTGGAGAACTGGGGAGATGGGCACGTGTCGGGGCGGGGTTTGTGTCGCATGGTGTCGCTTTTTCGTCTTTAATCAAACAGCCAGCCTCGAATATATAACGAGGGCTTCCCCCTGCCCCCAACGTCCTCCTCTGCCCCCAGGTATCCCAGGCTCCCTCTCCGTTAAAACCTCGCCGCCCTCATCCTGCAGGCGTCTCAACTTTGAAATCATTGGATAGTGGCAAACGAGATGGGACGGAGATGGGACGGGGGAGATGGAGCGGACGAGATGGACGGACGAGATGGACGGACGAGATGGACGGACGAGATGGACGGACGAGAGTCGGGCTCTTGGAGCGGCTGGAGATGACCAAGGAGGCTTGTCTCGTCGGTAACCGGGTTGTACTTGGGTCTTAATTGGGCTTACTAAGCGGCTCCAGCAGCCGGGTCGACTGCGGTACGTGCACGGAATAAGAAAGCGAGGGGGGGAGAAAAGGGGAACAGAAAGTCACATGACTTTCACGTGATCTACCAACTCATATCAGAAGTACTGGCATGAATTGGCTCGTTGGCGGATTGCACATTGGGGATTGGAACGTCGGCAAAGTACGTGACTTGACGATCCGCTCAGAAATACATGCTCTGTTTACCACTGGGTAAAGGGACTGTGGTTGAGAAGGCACATACAGTCTCAGAGTCATTGGCAGTGGGTACAGTATGTGCGATGATGTGGTGTGGTCAACAGATTGTTTTTAGTAGTTACCACCATAGTGACTATTAGTGACTATTTAGTTGACCTCACATTGCAATGACTGGGCATTTAGAAGCGGGAGATATCGCTACGAGAACTCAATGCCGTTTGTAACACCACTTGGCGTCACTTGACACCATTACAAGTCGCTAGATACCGCTGCAAGGACTCAATTCCGCTTGTAACGCCACTTGACGTCACTAGAAGTCGGTCTGAGCAGTGCACTCGCCACTCAGGGATGGGGTGGCTTTTTGGATGGATCTCGGATGGATTTTGGATGATTTTGGATGTTTCAACGAGTGGAGGACTCTACAATGCGCTATCCAGACTACAACTTCTGTACATGGACTGTCCGAAATGAGGGGTTCCGAGTACAAGATGCGACAAGATGGTGGAGGAGTGTGGAGTGATTTGGAGTCACTTGGAGGCTCCAGTTCAACTACCCCAGAACAATTGACTTGTTGTGAACGTTGAGAAATGACTAGTACCGCACTTGTACTTGCACCGTACTTGCACCGTACTTGTACGTACGGTATACCTGCCGTACCCTCCTCTTCCGACTAAACCAGAAACCCCATCGATTCACTCTACATCCGTCTATCATCTATATCTAGCTCTAAACTTGGTGGTGACTTCCGACAGTGCCATGTCGCTCCGACTCATCTATCAGCTCGCTTCACTCCCGGATTACACGTAAATCCGCTCCACCAACAACTGGCCCACCTCGACTGGCGCCTTGGTCACCACCTTGACATGGTTTCCTCCTCGTCCCAGCCACTTTCCGTCGTCCTCGGCCTCGGCATCCGTCTTTTGTCGGCCGCGGTCGTCCTCAATAGTTACCCCACGGGACCACTGTCCCTCGGTTTCCACACGGACATCCTGGTCGTGTGACTCCCAGGCGCCATGCTCATCTCCACAAATGGCGTACCAGGTGGCCAGGGGATCATGCATGTTGATATGGACGTCAGAACAGTCCACGTTAAGTCGACGGAAGGTGTCAAAGGTGGACTGGAGCCACACCGACGACCACACCGTCAGAGGAGAGCCTGCTGCGGCGCGGTCGGAAACCGCGGTGAAAAACTGGTTCTCGTAGAGATTGTACTCCATGGTAATATCCAGAGGGAAGATTGTGACGGGCACAGGTCGCGGAAGCGTTACGTGGAACTCCTTTCGAGGAGGCAAAGTCACACAGGGCTGCTCAGTGGCCGAAAACGAGTACACCACCGCCGCAGCCAGGGGGTCAGAGTAACAGTTGAACTCAGCACGGGGAGTCACATTTCCAGGCACCTTGAGAGCGCCGCCCATGTGAACAATCTCCTTCACCCGCGAAAAGGTGTCGGGATCAATCTGGGCCGCTCGGGCAATGTTCATGAGCGGGCCAATGGCCGCAATCGTCACGGACTTGTCGGGCTCTTCACGCAGCAGGTCGAGAATGACTTGATACGAAGGCTTGTCGGAAAACGTGTATCCGGGTCCGTTCTTGTCGGTGCTGGTGAACTCGGGCATCTTGGTGTGCACGTTACCGAGTCCGTCGTCACCATGGAAGTAGGTAGCGTCCAGTCGGGTTCCGTCCAACGCCGTGTCCATTCCGACAGCCACAATGGGTTTCTGGTTCACGTGGTGCTTGGCGGGCAGACCCTGCTGCTCTCGCCACACTCGCTCGCGTTCAAACACGCTGAAGAGTGTCTCCACATTGCGCAGACTGGCGTTCGTGTCGCAGTTGCCGAAACACAGAGAAATGAGCTTGAGGTCGCACTCGGGCGAGTTGAGAGCCAGCGAGATGGCCAGCGCGTCGTCCACGCCGGGATCAGTGTCGATGATGAGCGATCGGGGCATTTTTCAATCGCTATTCAAAAACCTGTGTCAAGTGAAAGAAAGACATTGAAAGATTGGCGTTGACAAGAGGTGCATATGATAAGGTGGGGACAGAGGAACGCCATAGGTGGGCGGGTGGAGGAGATGCGGAGCCGGAAACCGAGAATCCGGACCAATCACGTGATTTATTCCCCAGTCACGTGCAAAAAAATCACCGCCGTCACACAAAAACACCGACTATTCACCCCCTTCTTCTTCTTCCCCACCGCATAAACTTCCTGATCTGGAACATGACAAAAACTCAACTTTAGTGCCGTTTGTTGGTGTGCTACAGTGGCTAATAAAAGCACAAAAAAGCACAAAAAAACACAAAAAAGCACAAAAAAAACACAAAAAAACACAAAAAACACAAAAAAAGCACGAAAAAACAAATGGGGTTGAGTGTTGAATTTGTCCTCGTTGAATCCGCACGTATTTCTGCGCTAGATCGGTCTCGGTTCAAGTCCTCCAAGTACGAAATAGGAATACCGAGAAAACCGTGGAGATGAGCAACGCGAAGAAGAATGTTGGGTCACGTGAAAACTACAGCGGGAATATAAATAAGAGTACAGTATGTACTGTGCAAGGACATCGGTCTATTAATACCTTGTACATTCCCTTTCTGGGTTTAAAAAAATTGCAGCACCCAGGATTCTCGTATGGTCTCCCACTACAATACTAACTAGGCTCTCTGGTGCTTGACTATGGCTGATCGGACGGGAAGCCGTATTTTCACCAGGATATGGCCGCAACTGGTAAAATAAAGCACTAAATCAACACACTCGGTCAAATAAGTCACGTGATTTGATTATTTGAAATGACGCTAGGATGATGGTGACAAGCCGAGGAAGAAAAAAGAGTGACAAAAGGAATATGGATGATCTAGACAAAGACCCGAGAGTCGTTGTCTTACGTTTATACCCTCTCAAATGTCTTCTAAGTCGACGACTCTTGTTTCTACGGGAACAAGAATGTATAAATGGGATTTATGATCTTCCAAGGATTGATGGATTATATTAGACTGGCCAAACCACGTCTGAAACCATGCTGGACGCTTTATCCCTCTCTTTATAGCACTTTAGATGCCACATTTTACTGTCTATTATTGTCTAACAAAACATCAACTAATTGTATAACTAAACGCCTAAACCTACTTAGTCATTACAACATCTCCAAAACCCGAGATATTCAAACAAAATCAAACGTACAATACATTTCCAGCGTCATGTAGTCAATTCCTGCAAGAAACCTTCTGTAACCGTGTCAAAACCCTCCAGAACCCCCCGTTTCCAGCTGACCACCCGCTGACTAAGCAGACGAATAAAAATCCAAAGTCAAAATCCAATATGATATCTTCGACTGTGTTGACGAAAAACACGGCTACCACGGCTATCTGGCGACTAAGGCAGAAAACGGAACGATTCGACTTGTCACTCCAGTATATTGTATCTGTTGAGTAATTCAATCACGTGGAAATCTGTTCTCATCCAACCACTGATCCCCTAGCAACTACTGGAAACAACTTCAGATCACAGAATGCTCTCTCGACGTCTATTTTCCACTACGGCCGCTTTACGGGTCCCCTTTTCGGGTCCGCTCGACATTGGTGCCATTACAGCTTACTCGGCCAAGCTGACGCCTTCTTCTTCAACTGAAGACGTGGTTTCTGCCCTGCATGCTGCCAACAAGCTGGAACACACATACGCTGCCAGTGGGCTTACTACGCAGGTTCACGAGGTGCGGGAGCTCATTGACAAGGTGCTGGACCTACCTGAAAAGCCTTCGTTGGACATGCTGCAAAAGACGGTGTGTACTTCCAAGTACTACTCTCCTTGGTTTGGAACCCGGGCTATGGAGGTGTGGCAACAAAAGAACCCAGACACCCCGATTCCCCGAACCGTGGCCATGGGTCCACTGCGAAAGGCGCTCTGGGAAACAGACTTCCCCGCAGCCTTCAAGGTCGTCGACCTGTCGGCCGGCTCGCCTCAACACATCAAGTCCATCAAACAAAAGATGCTTAAATACCTGGGCGTGTGGGGTCTGTTTGGCCTGAGCATCTCTGGTGCTGGAAAGGGGCTCATGGCTGCCGATCTGCTGTTTGGTGTGGCCCCAGCAACCTTCCACATTCTCTGGTGGGCTTATTTTGCCAACGTGTCCATCTTTTCGGTCATTTCAACTGCTGGTCGTTTCTGCGGCAACGGAGAGGTGGTCAAGTGGATGCAGGGCACTTTCTACTCGCACTACTTTACCCACGCGGACGAGATGAAAATGGTGTCTCGAATTGTCGAGATTGACCGACTTATGCCCGAAAACCAGGGCCAGGTGTCTGAGGAGGTCCTGGACGCACTTATTGACCGAAAAATGGCGCCAGTGACCACTCACGATGAGAAAATGATGCAGCTATACTGGTCCGAAAGCGGAGAGGGCTTTCAGTGGGTGGAGCCGGAGCAGGACCCCGCCGAGATTCTCTGGAGACGTCATCTGAGAGAACGTGAGATTCAGAAGCTCAAGTAGACGTTCCAGACCCAAATGGACTTTACCAGTGCTCTATGGATGGAGAATGCAACTCCAAAGACTCGGATACAGTGCACTAGGCCCACAAGCTACCAAGGATGTATATAGATTATTGATTTTCAACCTAGAGAGGTGAAGGTGTAGACAACGAAAAGGAGTAACAAACAGCGATGAAAATACACATAGATGAACGTGAGAAACGTCCCGAATGGCTTTTCCATTTTCTACCGCGCTTTGAGGAATCTTCGTACCATACTCACCTCTTGAGTTCCTCAACACGTTATTTAGCCTAACCAAACACCGAAAACTGATTGAAAGAGTACTAATGAACTTGTCACACTTTGTTATATGCTCATATATTTGCTTGTATCTCCAAAATCTGCTTGAAACTCCTAAATCAGTGAAACTCCGAAATCAGTGAAACTCCAACATCCATAGATTATGATTGCCCAAAGAGGCAGTGATCCCTAACCCATTACCCAGAACTGAGTTGCACATGTCCTTGTTTTTAAAAATTCAGGGCGTCTGGTGTAGTTGGTTATCACATGCGCTTAGCATGCGCGAGGTCCCCGGTTCGATTCCGGTGTCGTCCATTTTTTTTTTGCGCGTGAGGCTAGAGATGGGTTATTTTAGCGTACAGATGAATGTATCTATGCCTGTGTCATCAGTTCTTTTTATGCTGCCTGCCAGAGTCCTTCGAGACGAATGGTAGACATGTTTCTGGGTGGAGCAGAAACTTCCGACAGGATGTGCAACGCGAGGAGTGCAAAGCGAGGAGTGCAAAGCGAGGCTTCGCAATTTGATCGTCAATGATTTCAATCAACTCAAGTGCCCGGGCACATTGTATCATTTGATAGTGTTGACCTGTTGTGAAGTCCTGTCAGAGATTTACTTGTACTCAGAAGAGGGAGAAAAGGGCGGAGAGAAGTAATACACTTGGAAATCGAGATTCTTGGCTATTGTCCAAACTTTTCAAGTCCATTGGCTTGCTCGGTGACTTTTGATAAGAGTATTTCGCTGCCCAATAACACTACGGAACGGCTGCTTGAGTTGACACCGACAACCTCAAAGTACGCCATATCAACGCGATTGGAAATGAGGTGTTGACTGATTCATCAAGTTGGAGTACACACTGATACAATCGGCCCTGCTCTACAATATTCTCTCTCAACTTATCAATCAGTAACATTATTCTATATACATTAGTGTAGTCTACCTTCATCTGATGACCTCTGTCTACCAGACATGCAGCTTGACGCTAGGTTGGTTCACTCCTCAATCTCTCCAGTCTCGTGGTTGGCAGGAACGTAAATGTCGCCGTCCTTAACAGTCACGTGCACATTCTCGCCGGTTCGGGTTCGGCCCTGGATCAGATGGAGAGCCAGTGGGTTGAGCACCTTCTTCTGGATGAGTCGGTTGAGAGGTCGGGCGCCGTACATGGGGTCGTAGCCGTGGTCGACGAGGAACTGCTTGGCCTCGTCGTCGACAAAGAGCGTGATTCGCTTGTCCTCGAGTCGAGCCTGGACCTCGAGCAGCCGGATGTCGATAATCTCGGTCAGCGCCTCCTTGGTCAGTCGGTTGAACACCAGAGTCTCGTCGATTCGGTTGATGAACTCGGGGGCGTAGTGCGACTTGAGCGCCTCAATCACCTTCTTCTTGGAGTCGGGAGAGTCCGAAATCAGATACTCCTGGCCAATGTTGGAGGTCATGACCAGAATGGTGTTGGTAAAGTCCACCTTTCGGCCCTGCGAGTCGGTCAGCGTACCCTCATCCAGCACCTGCAACAGCAGCTTGGACACATCAGGGTGGGCCTTCTCAAACTCGTCAAACAGAACCACGGCGTAGGGCTTTCGTCGCACCTTTTCGGTCAGCTCTCCAGACTCTTCGTAGCCAACGTAGCCGGGGGGAGAACCAATGAGTCGAGCAATGGAGTGTCGCTCCTGGAACTCGGACATATCGAACCGAATGATGGCATTCTCGTCGTCAAACAGAAACTCGGCCAGACCCTTGGTCAGCTCGGTCTTACCGGTACCGGTGGGTCCCAGGAAGATGAACGAGGCTACTGGACGCTTCTGGTTGGTGAGACCGGCTCGGTGGAGTCGCACTGCGTCAGCCACAGCGTCCACGGCCTCGTCCTGGCCCACAACACGTGACTTCATGCACACCTCCATATCTAGCAGCTTGTCCTTCTCGCCCTTCATCATGGACGATGTAGGGATGCCGGTCATTCGAGAAACAACCTTGGCAATGTCATTGGGGGTCACAGAGTCGTGCAAAAGAGACGAAGAGCCGGCGTCGGAGGACTCGGCGTCCTTGAGAATCCGCTCCAGCTCGGGAATGTCCTGGTACTGGATCTTGGAGGCGGCGGCAAAGTCGCCGGTTCGTCTGGCGGTGTCGAGATCGGTTCGGGCGCCATCAAGGGTCTTTTGGGTCTCCTTGATCTGGTCAATGGCCCGCTTTTCGTCCTCCCACACCTTGGTGAGCCGCTCAATCTCGCCCTTCTTGAATTCGAGCTTCTCCTCCACCTTCTTTCGTCGCTCCACCGACAGAGGGTCCTCCTCCTCTCGCAGCGACTCCAGCTCAATCTCCAGAGTCACCGTCTGGCGCTCCAGCTCCTGCAGCTCGTCGGGCTTGGACTCGTGCTGAAGTCGCAGGGCCGAACAAGCCTCGTCAACCAGATCAATGGCCTTGTCGGGGAGGAACCGGTCGGAAATGTACCGGTTGGAGTAGACGGCGGCAGTCACCAGAGCAGCGTCGGTCAGTCGCACTCCGTGGTGCACCTCGTACCGCTCCTTGAGACCTCGCAGAATGGAAATGGCGTCTTCCACGGAGGGCTCGTTGACCATGACCGACTGGAATCGTCGAGCCAGGGCCGCATCCTTCTCAATGTACTTTCGGTACTCGTCAATGGTGGTGGCTCCACAGCACTGCAGCTTACCTCGCGACAGAGCGGGCTTGAGCAGGTTGGAGGCGTCAACCGAGCCCTCGCCCTTTCCTAGGCCCAGCAGCAGATGCAACTCGTCGACAAAGAGAATCACCTCGCCCTCAGCCTTGTCAATCTCCTCCAGAATGCCCTTGAGACGTTCCTCGAACTCGCCCCGGTACTTGGCGCCGGAAATGAGTCCCCCCACGTCCAGAGCTATCACCCGCTTGCCCTTCATGGACTCGGGCACCTCGCCGTTGACGATTCGCTGGGCCAGACCCTCCATGATGGCGGTCTTACCGGTTCCGGCCAGACCAATCAGCGCGGGGTTGTTTTTCGTTCGTCGAGACAGAATCTGGATCGTTCGCTTGATCTCCTCGTCTCGACCAATCACCGGATCTAGCTTGCCCTCCTTGGCCTTTTCGCACAGATCCACTCCGTACGACTCCAGGTACGACTTTTCGCCACCGGGGTTCTGGGTCATAGTGATGAATCTCGGCGATCCGAGGCTTCCTGGAGCCCGAATCATCGTCGGGGTTCTGATGGTGCCCCATGTAGAGCAGCTGGTAGTAGCGGAGGTCGTAGGTCGAACAGCAGTACTCAAAGCTCTGGTCTGGACCTGGGTCCTTGTGCTGGCGTGAGCGAGAGGTCGCGCCCTCAATCGCTGCACGTTCTTTGCGTTCACTCGAAACATAATGTTGAAGTAGTAGTTAGCGTGTGCGTTTTATGTGTGTCTGCTCCGCTACCGCTGCTGATATATATATTTGGCGATGGGACCGTCAAAGTTAACCGAGCTGAAAGTTGAAGGCGGTTCTGGAATCGTCCATGGCGATTATTGGGACCTGTGGCGGTGGCAAAGGCGGGAGAGACGGGAAATCAACTAAACCGAGGATGGAGAAGACGATTATGTGGTTTGTTGACGTGTACTGCCCCTGCTAGCGTCAGTAGATACGACATCTTCCGCACATCTAAAGGCATCACATATGCCTACGCCTTAACCTAATCGCGAGGCTGAGACTGCCTCAGTCTGGCCCTCGTAGCAACCCTTTCGCGGGCCAATGAGCGGGGAAATGTGCATGTGGGCGGTGGTGTGAGCAGAGGCGGCAGCAGTGTAGCATTCGTACAGTATTTCTGGGCGGAGTGGTCGCAGTACGAATCGACAGTGGTATGCCTCTTCCTAGAGCGGGAAGGGTGGTTTTGGACCATTCAGAATGAGCGCTAGATGGGCGATTTCACGCCCGGTGGCAAAGAAACCGATTTTAACCGGGTCAATGGGAAGAATGGTGGCGAAACGGGAAAAATTTGCGGTTCAGGACCCATTCCCGGTGATGTTTCGGCACTATGGAATCGGGTGGAACGTTGTGGAAGGCCTTGGAATCTTCTAGAATGTGGTGGATGTTTGGAGAAAAGGAGACCATGAAAGCGGCAAAAACCAATGGTAGAAACTCGCGGGTGGTTGATTCAAGCTCATGTCACCTCTCACAACCCACCTGGACGTTTTCCACTCTCATTCCAATAACCGCAGTTTGGTTTAGACCAAAACTCTATCGAGCCAAAAAATGACAGCCGATATTTACACACGAGAATGTGACAAATGGGCCCAAATTGACACCGAAAGTTGATATAAAGGCTCTAAATGACATTGCAATATACCAGCTCTTCAATTGACCCTGTGAAAATTGTAGTTTTCGAGTTTCTCTAAGATCAGGACAGGCAAATGGGGGATTCACGAGATGTTCATTTTTCTGGATCAATAGAGGTCGTAGAAAGACAATTTTTTTACTAGAGTTCACGGTGAGTCTTCTAATGTATTTACAACTTTCACCTAGTCAACCCCATCGATATTGACCGAGTTAGAGACACTATTCTCAATGTGAAACTAATTCAAACGATTATGCATGATAAATGCAAGCCCCACTGATAACGGAGTTTAATATCTGGGACAAAAGACGTACCAAACGTGGTGTTAGTGGTGATAAACAACAAAATTGAATCAATAAATATATTTTAAGGTGTTTGTAGATCTGATTTTCAACTTTTTCCGTGCGGAAAACTGCCCAAAACATCTCAGAATATGACTCCACTTTTTTGGTGAGCAATTTAAACAACATTTTTATCTGACATGGCTACAACTTCCAGCACAATGTACCGGTACTGTACTTATGAAAGGGGGCTAAAACCAGTGCACAATTTTTATCCAAGGCGAGGAGAAACAAAAACAAAAGAAAAACACCAAAAAAAACAAAAAGGAAATTAACAATGTTAACTCCCCCACAGGGGCTCGAACCCTGGACATTTCGGTTACCATGCCTTTAGGGTTACTAAAAGCCGAACGCTCTACCAACTGAGCTATAGGGGACGAAGGTTAATTTGTCAACGGCGTTGGAGACACAAGTAAAGTGATACAAGTCACGTGATTGAATAAAAAATGGTAAAACCAAAATTTTTTTTGGAAAACCCTGGGGTTAGATGTGGAGATGGGGAGATGGAAGCAGTGTGGGGCGGTTATTTCTGGAGTACGGCTATATGTTCATGCTTCCAATCCAATACCATTCATTATCTTTGTCGTTGTCGACGTTGAAGATGTGCCCAGTTGTGATTTATCCATAGTGGATTGGTTTACGAGCTGTGAATTTATAGATATCGTTTCAACGGCGGAATAAAGACAACTCGGTGTGATAAAACCACTCTAGTTTCGTATGAGACTTGATTGGAGTCTTCAACTGGATCATTCAGCAAGTTATAGACAATGTAACATTGAAATGACTGCCTTCGATCTACATGATTCAAAGAGTTGAGTCATGAGAATTTGAAGAGGATGGTAAATGAAGCTCACAAACATCCTACTGTATCTCGCTACAATGAGCATGGCTTAAGTGACAAGTAACTTCACATTATCTCGGCGATACACGCAAGCACCCTCATCGCCTCGCCTATCGTAAAGTCCAATGTCATAAATCATTATCGTTAATATATAAATAGGTCTCCTATCCCTTTGCATCCGAGTAATCCTGGCGATGGAAGCCAGGAATGGGTTCAAAAGTGGGAGGAGCAGAGTCTGCGTCGTACTCGGGTACTCCCTGATTGTCGACTGAGAAGCCAGTCTGCTGAATCACGGTGAAGGACGCCAGAGAAGAGTCGTCCGAGTTGTCCGAGTCGTCATCCGAGTCTCCATGGGCAGCAGCTCCCCCTGAAGGACCAGCCACGGGTTCAGGTTCAGGTTCTGCAGCAGCAGCAGCAGCAGCAGGAGAAGTAGTGTGTGCTCCCTCGGACTGGCCGGGAAGAGGAAAATGCGTGTGTCCCACAGCCCGAGTGCCTCCGGAGGAAGGAACTGGGTGCTGGGAAGGTCGACTGGACTCAAAGGAATGCACAGACGAATGGTTGTCCTGGCTGTACTGGTCATTCTCTTCGTCATAAGTCTCCTCGTCGTCCTCCTCTCCATTCTCCTGAACAGTGGGAGTCCGTCTGTTTCGTTCAATGGACTCCTCCTCCTCTTCCTCAATGATGGCGTGCTCGTAATGGGTGTTGTTACTAGCTGCAGACTCTCCTCGAGCAATTTTCCAAATCTTGCGAGAGTACATGGGCAATCTGGCCCGTTTGAAGAACTGGAACGACTGTCCCTCGCCAGCAGAAGTAGGAATGTTGGAAGTAAAGTGGTGGTCGTTGGGAGACGATCTGAAAGGAACGTCGTCTTCCTCCATGCGAGAAGGATACTTTGTTCGCCCTCCTCCAACTGTTCCTCCTCCGTTGTCGCCCTTAAAGTCCAGAATCTCGTCTCTATACACCTGACGGCCCAGGACTGATTGTCGTTGCTCTCTTCGCTCCTGGTACACAATCACATTGGTCCATTCCCACACTACTACCGAGGCAGCAGCGTCAGCCGTCCACCGAATGAAGTCTGACCAGCCTGCAATCCAGTAATGAGCAATATCAAACACGATAAAGACCATGGGCAGGATCATGGCCAACCACGAGATGGCGGCCATAACTATAGACGTGCGAGAGTATGCGTATTTGCGTTTGGAAATGGAGTAGATGACAACCACCACGAGATAAAACACCTCGAGAAGAAGCGAACACAGAGCTCCAAACACTGGAAGCACCGACTTGGCATTTCGAACGTACTGCGACCACGGGGGAATTAAGTTCAGACACGCCCAGATGGTGGCATTGGTGAAAATCAACGTGGACCCCACAACTGCCAATCGAGTGTTGATTTTGGGCACGTCAAACAGCCGAATCACGACTTGCAAACGGGCCAGCCAGGTGATGACACATGTGATCACCTGCAGAATTCGAAATGCCCATCCTCCCATGATTTTGTGTCGTAGTTCGTATGCATTCTGGTATCCTTCATTGTATTGCGATTCCAGGGTATCTGTGGCCTGCGCCAGAAAAACGGTCAGCGAAACCGCCGTAATCAGCACCGCAATCTTCTGAAACAGAGGAGACGGTTTTCTCGACAGAAACAGAATGATCAGCAGCATCCAAGCTGTGACTGTGGACGCCGCAATGGTATAAGCGATGGGCGTGACCGAGCCGTAGAATGGGTCTCGTCGGTCGTTATGATGGTACTTTTGGTATTCGCTCCAGTCTGGAAACGACTCCTCTGGTCTTGGGGCCGGAGCTCGAGTTCCTCCCAGAGCACACTGGGGCCGGAAAACCGCCGGCGCTTGCAACTTAACCGTGCGGTTGTTGTCGGGGTTGTTGGGATCCACTATCACCAGGGTGCCTGCTGGAATAGCATAATCAATGCAATGGGAGGGGTCCGATGGGAGCTGTAGAACGGTGAAGTTGCCCGCCGAAAAGCTCGCGTTGTCGCCCTCTGCCAGATGCGACACCTCAGACAGCTCGTTGGCCACGGGCGTGGGCGCGTCGGAGTGCATCACGTTACGGCCGTCTATATCGGGGCTTCTGTAGGCGGTTTGTGGCTTGTCGTTGTCGTTTTTTATCGCCGCCGTTGCCACTAATTAGTCGGACTGCCAGTCCTCTGTGGGTATCACGACCGGGTAAGTTGGGAGTTTGAGACGGGGGCGAAATGAAACTTAAATGGGGAAGGCACCGTTACCCTGCAGTCAGTATTTGTGAGGGACTGCGGGAGGCAGGCGGCGTGTGAAAATTTTTCCCAATAAGGTTCGCACGTGGATAAGGTGGCAAAAAAAATAAAAATGCTGATGTTGTTTTTTATTTTTTGTTGTTGTGTTGTTAGACAACACGTCACGAATGGGGTGGTGGGGGAGACGAGAAGACGCACGGGGGCGGAAATGCGTTGATTTTTCTTGTGTGTGTGTTTTTTTGCGCGTCTTAGGACGGGCTCGAACGGGCTCGTTTGGTTGGGTCCAACTGCACATTTCTGTGGAGGAAACCTTGTGTACATTCCAGAGCCATAGTATGGTTTCCTAAACGGGACAGGCCATAATAAAACGTGTGTGTGGGAGGTGTAGTAGGGGGAGCCCAAACTACAATCACAACGACGTGGTTAAGCACCGCACCCTTGAACACCTTCCCCCCGCCCAACCCCAGCCTGTGCACGTGAGACGACAGGCGGTGCCAGCAACGGAGGAAAAGAGCGGGAAAAAAAAAAATAAGGTGGAAATGGGCGGTCGCTCCCCGGTCTATATATATTTGCGACTTGTGTTTGTGTCCCCACACACCCTAACCCCACACAACTAATTACATTACTGTGTAGCTGACCGGGAGGCCCCCCAATTTCGCGTGGCTGGTCTCAAGGTTACTGAAGGACTTGGTGGAGAGATAGTTGGAGACGACCGTGTTGAACATGTTTGGCACAAAAGGTGGCCGATACATTGCTCATTTTGCCGCCATTTTTTTGCGTCATCACCAGGCTAGAGTCACCGCTACCAAATTAGCCCGGGTCTTAACTCCCCGTCGTTCCGTCCACCGTCGTTCGTCCCTCTCTCTCTCTCTCTCTCTACCCATCTCTTAGTGTGAGTCCGCCACTGAAACCATAACCCAGCTATTCCCACTTTTCATCACCACACACTTGCACCACACCCCAGCGTCTTTGTAAACAAGACCGCACACCCCTCGAACGCGTCGAGCGAGCCGCCGAGAGCCAGAGACGTGACCTTGAGGAACCGCCGAGTCCGAAGAAGCCGAGAAAAAAAAAACCGCGACAAAAACGCTACCGCAACGTTTGAAACCCGAAACGGAAACACCAACAGCACAAGAGACACACATCATCCAAAGTCGCGCCCCCATCATCCACGCCACGCACCATGTCATTTGCATTTGAGGGCCAGCCTCAGCATAGCCCCTTCTTCTACGAGGGCCAACAGCATCAGCATCAGCATCAACATCAACATCAGCACCACGCCGGCCCGCAACACAGCAGCCAGCAGCACCCCCAGGGCCCGCATCAGGTACAGCAGCAACAACACGTCCCGCCGCAACACCAGGGCCACCAGCAGCATCAACAGCAGCAACACGCGGGACCCGCGCCCCCTGGAAAGGTGAACCTGACCCAACTGCCACGCGACGTGACCCCGCGTGAACTGCGGCTGCTGTTCGCTTTTGCACCCGACTTTCTGCATTGCGAGCTCCACAAACTGCCGTTTGGCGACGACTCCCCCATCGGCACCGCATACTTCCGCACCTACACGGCCGCCATCAACTGCCAGGTGACCCTCGACGGCCGTACCGACCTCTTTGGTGACGACACCTATCCGCTCAAATGCGAGGTGCGTTCTTCGCGACACTCGTCCAGTGGCACCCCCAACAGCAGCGGAGCCGGCGCCCCCAACCCCCGACACAACTCCGTGTCGTCCAAGAGCCGCTTCTCGTTCGCCCAGCAGTACCCCACCCCCAACGGAGGCGCTGGAGGCGGACCGTCCTCGCTGGAAATGCCCATGCAGAACATGTCCGTCAACCACTCCACGCCCTCCCACCACTCGTCCCAAGACTTTGGATACCCGCAGGAAGTCTTTTCGCCCACGTCTCCGCGGTCCGTGTTCCCCGCCTCAGGCTCGGTGCCTGAGCTCGGTCTCCCCAGACCCATGCTCGGCGCCTTGTCCTCCGGCAAGGCTGTGCTGCTCGAGAGCTCCAGGGATGACGACGAGTACAACGACATGGTCAAGGGCCCCGTCAGCTGGTTTGCACGAGATCCCCAGCCTGGACAGTCGCAGCAGCAGCAGTCTCAGCAGGGTGGCCAGCAGCAGCAACAGGCCCAGCAACAACAGCAGCCCCAGCCACCCCAACAACCCCAACAATCGCATTCGGTCCCCTCGCAGTCGACTCCGTCGTCGTCAGCGCCTTCCACGGCCCACTCGCCCATCTCTAAGCCCAAGTCGCCCGTGTCGCAGCAGCAGCAGCAGCAGCAACAGCAACAGCAGCAGGACGACGATTCCAAGCGAGACGCCTCCCGTGGCGACTCGTCTGGAGCGCCGGCTAACGCGCCTACGGGCCCTGCATCGCAGTGGAGCGATAAGCGGCGTACATCGACGCTGCGGCAGTTCCAGAACGGCGGCAAGGCCGTCGCTGCCACTACCCCCACCGCGCCGGCCAACTACGATGACTCGGCTGTTTCTTCGGGCGAGTCGTCTCCCAGCGAGTCCACCATCTCGCTGTCGTCGGTGGTGCCCGTGCCCACCAACTCGGTGGACGACCTGCCGCCCATCGACACGTCGGCTGGTCCGGGCGCCGCCTCCCGCATCGTGGTACCCTACTCACCGACCAACGCGTCCACCACCATCCAGGTGCTGCAGAACGGCGGCCGTGTGCTTCCCCCTGCCAATCCTGCCGACCAGAACCCCCCTTGCAACACTCTGTACGTGGGCAATTTGCCTATGAACACGACCGAGGAGGAGCTGATGCAGCTCTTTTCCAAGCAAAAGGGCTACAAGCGGCTGTGTTTCCGCACCAAGATGAACGGGCCCATGTGTTTTGTGGAGTTTGAAAACGTCATGTATGCATCCAAGGCGCTTAACGAGTTGTACGGAAAGGGTCTCAAGTACAGTGTCAAGGGCGGCATTCGGCTGTCGTTTTCCAAGAATCCGTTGGGCGTGCGGAGCAGTGGCGGCAGCGGAGGGTCGTCGCAGCCTCCCGTGAACGGTGGCCGACAGGACAAGAGGGACTATAATGGTGACTACTACTACTAGTTAGGTAGAGTGAGCGTCACAGACACTTTTGAAGTGGTGTATTTGTATTGAGAGCATATAGCATAATAACATGAGTGAACATTGGAGCGGAGGATACTGTATGGCTTCTCGGGTGCTGGAGGGTATAGTTATGTTTGGAGACAGTATAGTTCACCTAGGTGGACTAAATGAGTAGAATCTAGTAGTGAGTATACTATTGATATGAGCTTTACAGAGGGTGATACGAATACGAGATGGGTTAATCAAGACAGCATATCTCGGGTTGAGCGTGTCGGTGTGGGGTTATGACTCTTGTCCTTGAATACCAAGTGTTCTCATCTGATTCGGTTGCTCCTGTGTTTTCGTTGGCAAGTCATTGACGTTGCTCTCATGAAGATTGAGTACAGCACGTCTTGGGCACTGCTGGTGTGGTCATGTGTATTCGTTATTCATTCCTGGCGTGCATGTCTATGTTTCAGTTCCATTTATGTCCATGCGGGGTTGGTTGTCGTTTGCCGGGTCGTATCATGCATCTATTCGCCTTTGGTCTTGAGAATCCGATCGACCAGTCCCAGCTTCAAAGCCTCGTCGGCGTTGAAGAACTGATCAAGACCAATGAGAGTGTCTACTAGCGAGTGGGTCAGGGTCTTTTGGTTGATGGTATCGATCCAGGATCGGTCCGACGACAACAACGACATCAACGGGGTCGGTTCTGCCGCCTCATGAGTCTCCTCTGCTCCTTCCTCCTTCAGTCTTCCCTCCAGGCCCAGTTTCATGCTATCGTAGTACAGTTGGATGATTCGGGTTCGGATCCGTTGCAAGTGGAATGTGTGCAGCTCCACCAGCTTACTGCTGCCAACAATGCCTCCCAGTGGTTCGTGTGTCATGATTGTCGAGTTTGGGGTCATGATGCGGTTGCCGGGCGCGCCACAGGTGAGTAGTAATGATGCCATACTGGCGGCCTGGCCGAGACAGACGGTGTGGACGGGGCTTCGGATGTAGTTCATAGTGTCGAGAATGGCGAACCCGGCCGTCACGGCGCCTCCGGGCGAGTTGATATACATGTGGATCGGTTTCTGAGCCGATTTGTGTTCCAGATAGAGCAATTGCGCCACCACCGAGGTGGCCATGGAGTCGTCTATGGGGCCGGCCACGTGCACAATTCGCTCGTTGAGTAGCTTGGCGGGGATGTCGTGGATGGAGAAGTCGGAATATCGGCGTTTTTGCGTCACCGCGGCCAACTGTCGGACCCGTGGCACCCGTGAACTTCCTTTTAGTATCGCTATCATGGGTTGTGGAGTTAAAGAGGTGGGATTAACGTGCATGGTGGGTAGAATATGGCTGCAGGCGTGATGAGAGATAGCTGTTATCTTGTGTGGAGAATGAGGGGGATTTGGGGTCGAAAATGGACTGCTAAAGGTATGTAAAGGTGTTTTTTTACACAGCTGGATGGACAATTCGCCATTTCGGCGTCATTTGGAACCCCCTCAGTGGGGTTTGTGGAGATGAGTTTAGTGGGTGTGTTCAATTAACACCTCTCAGTATAGTTGGCATTTTAGTTGGGTGTGTCCAAGCTGTAGTAATCATACAGCGTTCGTACTGTTCAGTTAATACCCCAACACATGCCAAATCTCTAGCAGAACGTAAAGAATTCACACCTATTCTCTAATAGTCGGGTTTCAGCTGTATCGAACCACGTCTTTGACAGTCTTGCAAGTAGTTCACCGCCATGAGACGCTCAGTGATACATTCTCAGCGCTGTTTTGGAATTGTCAAAAGTTTTACTTGGAGTTGTGGAAGCTCTTGAGTGCTACGAGCTTGGTACTTGTGCTTGTACGGATTTTTTGTTGTTAGAATCCTGAGAATCCTGGAGTGTGTAACTGGGTATTCAATTCTTTTTTCAGATCAGGAAATCCAGGAAAATTTCAGATCAAAATCAATTCCGTTGATTCACATTAGTGTATATTGAGATTGAACTTTTTTTTTTCTTTTTTTTCTTTTTTCCCTTTTTTCCCTTTTCTTTTTCTTTTTTCTTCTTTTTCTTCTTTTTCTTTTTTTTCTTTTCTTACTTTTCCTCTTGCTTGTTTACGATTTAATTAAGATTAATTCAGAATAATTCAAATTAATTCCGTTAATTCACACGTACAGCATAGTGAGAATCTCAAGAACCCTTGCATGTATGTTTGGACTTGTTTTTTCTTTTTTTATCTTTTCCCTTTCTTCCTTTCATTTTCCTTCTTTTCATTTTCCTCCTTTTCCTTTTTTTCTTTTCCTTTTTTTCTCTCTCCCTTTTTTCTTTTCCTTTTTTCTTTTCCTTTTCTTTTGTTGGAATAATTCAAATTAATTCGCACTCAAGCAATCTGATAAAAAAACACCAGAGAAAACAGAAGAAACTGCCGAAAGTGCAGAGTAACTTGACAACCATACCTGTCTCTGGGGCTTCAGGCAGTATTGTATAAGACCCTGTAGTCCACTTGATTGTATCACCACATTGTCTCGCCACATCACTGCCACTGCTGTAGAAGTCCAACCGACAAAAGTTGTATTGGCGTCATCCGCGGAGAAGGAGGGACTCGGTTATGGCGCTATTGAACCCACGATACTGAGATTTGACAGGAATAAAGAACCTGGTTAGTCCTGTTTCGGGTATCCAAGTACCTGTTCGCAGTTTTAGGAAGGTCAGAAGTAGGTACAAGTACCGATATGTACAGGTGCAGACGTGCTCGTACTAGTACGGTCCTTAACATACCATTTCCTGTAGTAGAGTAGTGAAGGAGCCGTACTGACTCATGGCCTCCGTTATCGACTCTCCATTCTTGACTCTCCATTCTTGACTCCTCATTCTTGAATCTTGCAATCTCGACTCTTGAAAGTCTCGACCGGATCCCTCCCACTTCGGAACACGGCCCACCACTAGGTTAGACCTAACGCACCATATCCAACCACTCTGGCGCAGCTAGCTTTCGGCTATGCGAACAACAAAGACGGCCGACTGGTGAGGCGAAAGATATGGTCCCATTTGTCATCTGCAAATGTGCTTGTTGCGGCAGCCTTGTTCTCTCCCCTTTCTTCCTTTCTCTTTCACTCTGCTCCTTGTCTCGTATTGCTCTGTCTTTACCTCGCAGTGCAGCTCATCTGGGCTCGTATACGCGGGTCCGAAACCAATATACGCATGCACTCCAGTCGGGCCACCTTGATTGTGCTGACCATCAGGCCATGCGCCGGATTCGTGAGCACAATAGGGATCTGACATGAACAGCTCATTTCCAGCACAAACAAGTCGTTTCCAGCACAAACAGAGCATTGTCGACATAACGTACCACCCACCGCTCGATCTCTATACTGTATGTTGATACTCGTATAGATTGAGTTCCCCTTGCCCCTCCCTCTCCCCACACACAAGACGCTGGTTGTGGCAAGAGCACCAGACGGTCGGCTGTGGGTGGTAGGTAGTGCGGATGGTGACATTAGGTGTGTGGCGGAAGTGGCGCAAGCAGCACGAGCTCGAGTACAATTGCGGGAGGGTACAAATGCGGGACTTCTGTGACACTACACAGACACAAGTTACCTTGCACCATACAGTACTTTCGGTGTGCCTCGAGCGATTGCTCTTGCTGCGGTGTTTCTACGGCGTCTGTCTGTGTTCAGCAGCAACGGTTCCGTGGTGGTCGTGGTGTTTGGGGGCTGGAGTGGAGAGGGTGGATTTGGGATGGACAAAATGGGAAAATGGGGAATTTAGGGAAAATTGGGAAAATTGGGAAAATTGGGAAAATGGAGACCTCATAACAACACTGGAATCATCTCGACATTGGCATCTGATTTGGACCCTCTTTTAACCCTCCTTGACCCCCCTTGACCCTCCTTGACCCCCCTTGACCCTCCTTGACCCTCCTTGACCCTCTTTGACCCTCTCTGACCCTCTCTGACCCTCTCAACCCTCAACTCCTTCCGGACCTCGCACCCTGCAACTTGCAGCTTCCTTGTCTCTGCAACAGGACCAACACGGAAACTGTATGGGCCCTTTGTGGGTGCACTATTACGGTATCGTACCGGTTCATGTATCGAGCATACATTGTTTTCGTCCTTGTATCGTCCTTGTATCGTCCTTGTATCGTCCTTGTATCATCCTTGTATCGTCCATGCATCGTCCTTGTGTGATGTGATATCTTTGTGCCAGGGGTCACAAGCGAAGATACAAGCGAAGATATAGAGGTTAGACAATACCCGTTAGACAAAACGCGGTCGGACAAAGCACAGTCGGACAAAGCACAGTCGGACAAAGCACAGTCGGACTAAGCACAGTCGGACAAAGCACAGTCGGACACTCCAGATGACGCAGTATTGGCCTTCATTGATCATTTTATATATACAGATGTCTACTGTAAAAAGGATACAAGGTGGATACAAGTGGATACATGTGGATACATGTGGATACAAGTGGATACAAGTGGATACAAGAGGTGAATACAAGGGTGAAGGATGAGCTACGGTGCAAGATGAGCTACGGTACGTGAGGAACTACGGTACGTGAGCTACGGTACGTTCTACTTGTAGACTTTTGCCATCTCTCTTACAAGTCGCGCACTGATATACTGGTATAGTGTATGTACTGTACATACTGTACCGGGACTCGTACTCGTAGTGTCGTTCCCATGAGATCTGTTAAACACGCAACGTCGACAGTTCGCCCACTCTCTGCTAATACCTTGAGTAGTTTTCCTCTGGTAGAAGCTCTGGTATTAGCTGTCATCCTATTGGCCTCGAACCACTTCCAGCATGTTCGGGCTTAACGAATCTCTTCAGAGAGATCGCAACCGGACTCGCCAACGTTCGTCACATCGCGCATGCCGAACTCGTCGGGCTCATCGTCACTCAATCTTCAGATCCATCGCCTGTATCAGATGGACTGCCCTATATAGAATGGTCACAAGATCGAAGATGTGGTATATGAACACTAGTGTCGCCTCACGTTCTTCACCTGGCCCTTACAGCGCCCCACTAACCACGACATCAATACAGTCCAACACAAGAACAACGCTATATTGTGATGTCAGAATCTCTCGATACAAGGCCAAAAGCCGACTACAGAGTAGCAGTCGTCGCACCCATTTGACGAAGAGGCTCCGGACTCTGGAACTTTCCAGGTTCCAAATCACCTGCAGGACTTTTCGCACTCATCTCCCGTGAGTAAAGAAAGCGCTTGAGTCGTCATTCGGTCTACACACAGCGAATGGCTACTTTCCATAATCACCTGGAGCCCATTACTCCGCTTAAATGGTCTATCTCAAGAGATGGCAGATATATTCCATAGCATAACCGGCAAAAAACTCGCTAATCATTAATGCCCATGCAAGTAGCGAAGGGGCTTGGTACAGATGCCATAGGACTTTGGTGACTTCAGAGACATCTCCAACGTTTTATTCAAGTCTGGCAGATTAATGAAGACCCACTTGTTTGTCCGTTACCCGAAGAGCCCATCTGGCGTACACCATATAGAGAATGGAGCACTGCCGAATGAAGCAAGTAATGAGATACCTGTACTTGTTTGGCCACTGAAGAGCAGACAGTTAAGCAATTGAAGAGCTGACATTTACTTGTTAAGCGACTGAAGAGCTGACATTTACTTGTTCTGAGCGGGATCATTGCTCCGAAGCTCGTTCAGATGAAGTCGGAGCAGTGGGAGGACAAGAATAACAGTTTGGCGCGGCCTTGAATTGAGGTAATGATCCTGATGGAATTCCCGGGCGAAATTGGCGGCTTGGGCGACCGCATCCCTTCGCTTGAGCAGCTCCACCAGAAGACTAGAAGGTCTGGTCCGGCAACGGGATGGATAAGCTGACAGTGGAGTGTCAGAGAGAGCAATTCGGATCTCTCGGATCTCCCAGAGATACTTCAATTGTCTATAAAATAGACGTGCTCATTTTCCGCAGCGAGTGTGTTTGTATTCAGATCTTCGGGCCTGTACCGGCAGTAACAGAAGCACCACAAACCAGTTGGTAATGGTCTCTGTGGGTCGAACAATTCAATTATCAGCAACAGCTTCTCTCTTGAGTGACTTTCAGAGCGCCAAAAGCCACAGAAGAATGATATAACTATTTTTTTATTTTTTATTTTTTATTTTTTATTTTTATTTTTATTTTTATTTTTATTTTTATTTTTATTTTATTTTATTTTATTTTATTTTATTTTATTTTATTTTATTTTATTTTATTTTATTTTATTTTATTTTATTTTATTTTATTTTATTTTAATTATTGCCAAGACGACGATAAACTAAACCTAAACATTTCCAAGCCGCACGGCTGACGGTGGCCGTTTTGGGGTATCTCTAAAAGTTGCTAAATGGATTCAATTCAAATGAGACTTGGACTGGAGATTATTTGGGGTGCTGTGAAATCACATAACAACTTTTGATCACGTGATGTCCTTTTCGCGGCATCAGACGCCTCTATTTGAGATGAACATGAGCCGCACGACCAATACTCTAGAGTCTTGCCTAAAGCGGATAGAGAACATTGACAGACACACACGGGCTCAGACAGACACAGAAACAGAAACAGACACAGAAACAGAAACAGACACAGAAACAGATGACCTCCGCTATCACCTCCATTCCGCCATCACCCCCATCACCACCCAGGCGTCACCCGGACTTGTTTGTGTGATTTCCCAGGCGATACAGAGACACAGAACAAATGGACGCCAGTGTGAGTCTGAGACACCATCAGTGAATATGAAGGTAGCAGTCGCGGTTGATTCTCAGATCAACTGATTCCCTGTTGTCATTGGCACTTGGCTCATCGTCATCAGCAGTCTCAGACCACGGTTTGAGTAGTCACAAACTGTAGCAGCTTTTTGACGCACTCAACTGAAGCAGACCATCATACCGCGAGCACTGTACGGCCCCCAACTCACAGTATTGATGAGGAAGCGAGAGGCTGCACTTGCAGCTGCGATGGGTGACAGAAGATGCAAGGGCTGCTAAACCACAGGCCGAGAACTCGCATCATGTTGGACAAACAGTCGAGTCTCAGATGATCCCGTTCGTGGTAAATCCACTTGACCTGGTGTTGTGCTCTGTCCACCCCCCTGGAGAACGGAGACAACTCTCTCAGGTTTCTCCCTCACTGCTCTCTCAGGAATCTCCGAGAGTGGAGAGTTGTGTAGGAACATCCCCTGTAAGTGATGTCTAGGTTGTTCATTCAACAGTCTATACCTCCAATGATCTCTCCAACTGTCCAATGCTTCAGTTGATCATTGCTCCAGCAGATCTCCAGCAGTTCAAAGCTCCAAAACTGAACACCCCAACACTATCTCAAGCTACTTGTATCTGCATGGCCAAGTTTTCTGTGGTATACTGACTACAGTACATACGAGTACACAGTACAAACGCTGATGATCGCTCAGTGAGTACAGTACAATGCGATACAAGTACAGTCTGAGAGCTGGTGCATGGAACGCACATTACTCTTCTTCGATAGATCTCGAGGACTGGAAATCAACCAAGTGATTGACATTTGCCAGGAGTTGGCCGAGTTCAGTACTTACGAAGCACGTACTCGACTTGTGATACATCTTTTTCCGTGGATTCAGAAGATTTCGACCTGTTCCTACCCCAACTCCTACTCTCACTCGCACGCCAATATGTCAGTTGTACCTCCAACTGCTTCTCTATCTCTCTATCTATCTCTTTGTCTCTCCACCAGCCTCTCAAACACCGCACAATCTGTTTACATCCACAGCTGATGGTTGTACATTGACGGCTGACCGTCTCTCTGTTGACTGTCTGTTGACCCGTCTGTTGACTGTCTGCTTTCCGGTCCTTCCTGTCTCAGTTCTATTGACACCTTCCGTTCTGGGCGCCTTTGATGGATTCGATCGACGTCTTCGACGCAGCAACCATGTGCCATGGACGAGCCGACGAGCCGACGACATGAACCTATAGCAACTGGCAATGGCGATGGTGTACATACGGACCTCGTACAGTACGAGTACTTGCGCCTGGACTGTACAACAAAAACTCGCCCTGAACTACACCTACCGGTACTTGTACTAATTAGTCCATTAGGTCCATTAACTCCATTCAAACGTCATCAAAAACGTCACCAGGAGACCTACAGACCACATTCTAACCATTCAAACATTCCAAACACCTACCAAACGTGAAATCAGCACAATGCTATTGACAAGTCTCTTGTCCCTGTTAGTCCCCTAACATTCCCGTCAGCCGCGCCACCGCGTCACCACACCATCGCCCCGCGTCACCACGTTAAATCCGTATAGAAGATATGTCCGGAATGAAAGATTCCACCATACAGCCGTCAACGCACCTCCGACTGTTTACCCACTCTACAGTGCGCGTCTGGCGTCCCACTCCAACGCTAATTTGGCCGAGTTTGACGCAGAGACAGACCTGAAGCTCCGTCTCATCAATGCCCTTGTTTTCTGCCGTCTAAATGGCGCATCTGGGTTCAGGAACTGACGCTAACAGCCGTGTAGATCATGTGCCAATGTCGCAACGTTGGGTAGAACGCTTGAGGTCGGGCAACACATGAACCGAAACTACGGGCAAAACACCCAAGCCGGGCAATTCAAGCCCAGAACCCCCTTGAGTAACCCCATCCAACTCGCTCTTACTCAATCCTACTGGAAATGCTACTTTGAATTTTTTCCTCATTTTTGCGCTTATTAAAATGAAATAAAAAAATCTCAGTCTCCATCGTTGCTAGGGAACCCAAGAACCCAAAATGATGATTCCCCGCGCAGCACATTATCGACTTCGGAAATACACACACCTGGTTGCTAGGGGAGCCGCACTCACTCGGGAGAACGTGAATGATGACGACGGTGGCTCCTGGTAACACATTCCACAGCAGTGTTTTGAAGAGTCCCAATCGGGATGTTTATTTCCGAAACTAGCAACTTTAAGGTTTTTAGCTTCCAAAAAGACACATTCCTGGTCCTAATCAGGACACCAACGTCATAGAAAGCCAATACTACATTGACTTTTATGTTATTTTATTTATTTTTGTCTTTTTTTTCAGTACGGCTAAACATGAGTGTATGAATAAAATTAAAATACAAGGTGACAATTGGGTGCTGTAAGAAATTAAACTGAGGTGACATGTTTTCAAAAGGGGTGGTCCAAGAAGCAGAAGAAACAAGACTAGAGCCGGGTATTAGTATCCATGTCGAGAAATTAGAAAAGAAGAATCGTAGAGGGGATTTTAGGTGGGGGGGGGGTTGGGAAAGTTTTAGCACCAATTGTGTTGTCTTGTAATGAAAGGGAATGGGGGTTAACACGGGAATTGTGACCGTGCTGTTGTTGTCGCAGTTGTAATCATCGTCGTCTTTGCCATTGTCTTCATCATCGCCTAGATCGACAAGGCTGCATGTTTCGTCGTCATCTTGTTTGTTTTGCGATCGCTGCGCATCAAAGACTCACAAGGGGTCGAAGGGGTCGATATGTGTGTGTGTCTGAGTTGTGTTTTGGTGTCGCTCTATTGTACATTATGCGGCCGACGTGACTCCAGTGGATTTGGACTTACGCGAAGTTCTAAAGAATTTGTTAGCACGGGGTTGTTTCTCAGAGTACGACTCGACCTTTGGTTAGTAAGACTATCACAAGGCCAGCGCGATTCTCCACGCGAGGGGGGAGATTGGGCAAAGCAGTTAGTAACTCACCTTAGAGGACTGCTTTCGGGAGCAGCAGGCAAACCCAAAGAAAAAGAGGGTGAGCAGCAGAATGAACTCGGTGGTCCAGATGAAGGCAAACATCTTGGTGCCCAGGTGGGCCTGGTCGAACTTGCCCTTGGCCTGGGAGTAGCAGGCGGTGGACAGGGAGGCGGCAATGGTCCAGAAGAAGACGGAGATGGCGTTGGCGGAGATGGCCAGTGCGGAGCCCAGACGCGAGCACAGCGAAAAGAGCGACACAAACAGAGTGATGACAGTGAAGAAGAGAGAAATCAGGTAGAAGGGGAAGGCGAACCGGGTCAGGTAGTACCACTTGTGGGTGCCAATGAACTCCTGGGGGATGCCCTCTTCGGTGCCAAAGTTTCGCACGGGGTCAAAAGGGAAGTCGGCCTGGTTCTTGGAGCACTCGAAGTTCTTGTTGTCAGTGGACACGCCGCAGAAGTTGTAGGTGGTCCATCGGGTGAAGTCGTGAGCCCCGGGGATGTTGGAGGTTTCCGCCTCCAACCAGTAGAAGTTGTTGAGGGGGGCCGAGTCTCGCGCGCCGGCAAGCAGCACGAAGAAGGACAGCAGGGTGGCTCCTGCAATCAGCAGGATGGTGAAGGCGCCAATCAGGGGTCGGAGAACCATTGTAGAGGCGGGTTGTGGGTGAAGATGGGTGTAAGTGTTGGTTGGTGTAAGTGTAAGTGTAAGTCGCGGACTATGGACGAGGTGTTGGACAATGTCTCCGGAAAGTTTTCAAATGCACAAAAAACGGGGGGCCCCGGGGGGATTTATTTGGTTAGACCTTGCACCTACCGCCAAGCTTTGGCTCAGAGAGCTACGGGCGGTTCTTTGTGTGGTAAACAGCAATCGGAGGCAGACTGCATGAGACTGTAGACTTTGTCCTGCACGTTGACAAACCTTGTGTGCGCATTTGGGGATTGGATTTTGGACTTTAACAGAAGAAGAAAAAAAAAAAGTTGGGGTTGTTTGGTAACCGGGGACCGTCGCCGGACAATCCAAGACCAACAGATGGCCAATCAGAGCGTCGCATTCGTTCCACCAGCGCTACATGCATAAATGGCATCTATTGCGCGGTCGACCACGTTGCACCCGTCGCATTTATAGCCCCATCTAGTCCCATGATCCCCCCTCCCCCTCCTAGCAACCATTGTGAGTCTAATAGCCTTACGTCCCAAAAGGGTAATTGGTTACCCTGGAGTTGGAGTTGAGAGTGGGAGTGATTGTGGTGATTGTGGTGATTGTGGTGGTGATAGAGCGTGGTGGGTGGTCGTGGTAGAGTGGTGGATGGTTGTGGATGGGTTAATTTGGTCCTTTTGGTCCTTTTGACCCTTTTGGCTCCTTTTTCGCCGGTTACCCCTGAACGAAATCTGACCAAAAGAAAATATTTCAAGGGAGCAACATGTGATGGAGATATGGGAAATGGGAGAGGAAAATAGGCAAAAATGGCAAAATGGCAAAAATAGCAAAAATAGGCAAAAATAGGGGGAAAATAGGGGAAAATAGGGGAAAATTGACAAAATAGGCACATGGAACTAGAACTATGGCTAAATTCCAGAACCCATAGAAAACCCCAAAATCCATTGTCCCCATGGCCCAGAAAAGTACTCACACTCCCTCCCCAATTCCCCCAATCCCCCCCGATCTTCGCTCCACTGCATCGAATTTGAATTTCAATTGTCTGCACTTGCCTCACTGCACTCTATACGCACCATACGCACTATACAGCGTTTGCATGCACTGTATGGGGGCGGATTATCAGGCGGCGATACAGTGTGAGAGAGAGTCGAGAGAGGTGAAAAAAAAATATTGCCGATGATACTGCCGACGACGCTGCCAATGATACCGTCACACCACCAATAACTCCACCTCTTCCTCCACCACCTCCAATGTCACCGCTGTGCGGCTACTAACCCGACCCTGACCCGACCCTGAACCAACCGCCAAATCTACGTCGATTCTAGCTCCACAAATCGAGGCTGAAAATGGCACCTATCCTGTAGCCGCACGTCACCGTGCAGATGAAGCAATGACGGTGTTAGTTGAGTGGGCCATGAGTGGCTATGGTCAGGCAGGTTCGTTCGAGCGGCGGCGGAGTCGTTGTAGTTGCAATGCTACATACGACCTTGCCATTCTGACAGTGTGACGTAGTTGGTGCTATTATTATTATCTTTTTGGTTATTATTTTCCTTTTTTTTCCTTTTTTTCCTTTTTTTCCAAAAAAAAACCCTTTCGAGAAAAATTCAGCTGAGTGATACGACCGCACCTCCATGGCCGTAGCAACTACTGCACTGCTTGGAGACGCCGAGCACTTCTATGCATCAACGTCTGCAGAAAAGTCAGGCGGTGCTGAGCCACGATGCAGTTTGGAGTTGGACTTGGACTTGGAGTCGGTGCTCCGCCTGGTGTCCGTGACAGTCAGTAGATGTGAACTCCGCCTCGGTCACCAGTGGTCCCCTCAACCAAACGTCAACACTCCGCCACAGCTTATGACCTTCAATCTACCAATGAACGGACTCCCTTTACCGCCGATTTGGCTCTCAGACTGATTCTCACAGGCAAACCCACTCTTCCTCTCGCTCAAACCCACTCTGCCTCTCGCTCAAACCCACTCTACCTCTCGCTCAAACCCACTCTCAGTCTCACTCAGACTCAGACTTTAATCACCGGCGTAGCATTCATTACCTCTCATGTGCACGGTGAACTTTGCCATAGCCGGTTTGTACTGTACTCGCTCTCGCACGGCGTAGCAAGCGCAGCAGTTGATCGCGCTTGTGGTGACGACTGCTTGTGGTGACGACTGCTTGTGACGACTGCTTGTGACGACTGTTCGGTGACAGCTGTTTGTGGTGCCGACTGGTGGCATAACATGAACACCATTCGCCCCGCAGTCGGCATTCGGTGAATAACGCCCGTTGGCAACACTCACCATTGTTTTAGCCCCGAGCGGCTGTTGGTGCTCAAGTTGGTGCGGTAAGTACAGTGCGGATGTGAAGGTGGGACTTGCAGAATATGGCAGCATCTGCAGGCAAAAATCTCACTGTAAACATCTGTCTGTCGACAAACATGTCACTACTTGTAGGACAATGTGTTGGTGGATTGGTCCGTCTGGTCCCTCTTGGAGATCGGCTGTCTGTGTCTTGGATATTCAACTTTGAGTGACTAAAAGTTTTGGTCGTAAATATGGACACGACCGGGTCTCGAACCTACGTCCATAAGTATGTCACCCAACATGACTTGTGTTAGTTAAATGGGATATATATATAGTTGCAAGTCAAGTATAGGACCTCGATATTGTATTTCCCTAGAAATAAAAATAAAAAATCGCTGTTTTTTTTTTAAAAAAAGGGGGAAAAAACAACGTCCAAAATTGACGAAAAATGCTCTAACTCGTCATTGACCAGAGGCATCGATCGCAACACTGACTGCGACACAACTGCGACACAAGTCCGACACCAACCCACCCCCGTGTCATTCTCACGACTTTATCATGCGACTCCAAGTCCAAACTCCCTTTCTAGCTGTCACGATACTCTCATCCGGAGCAACAACCACATGACAGTGGCCGAATCCGGGATCATTGGAGGCAAGGGCCACCCAGTTGTCAACCACCCTCACCCACCCTTTACCCACCCTAGCGCCAAACTCACTCCGCCATTAACTCCTTCAGACCGTTGTGGGCTGTGTCGTCACATGGTCAGAAGACAGGGCAATGTTGGCGATATGTGATGGGCGACAGGCGATAGGCGGCAGGCGATAAAGCGGCGGCGTGGCTTTGATGCGATCCTCGCCATCGTCACTCTACATCGTCATGCGTCACTTCACCGTTCTATGCCGTCCCTCCCTACTGTACCCACATGGAATGCGTTTGCGAGGCGTAGAACATGTCACGCTGGGCTCCACTCCAACTTTTTTTTTTTTGGTTTGCGCCGAAAATAGATGCACACTAATTTCCAGTGGACCCAAGCAAAATGGACTGACATGAACTAACTGAGGGTCAGAGGGTTTCATGTGATAGTTGCTAGTCAGCTATTAATAGACGGCGTGCAAATACACGATAGTACCGTGTGGAACAGACCAACTGGAGACGTGCTGGAACCTGGAAACCAGTCACGTGACATGAACAAAGAATAAATGGATGGAAAGGGGGGATAGGAACACGAGGCATTGTATATCACGTGACCGCAGATAACGAATGAACGAGACAAGTCACGTGCCATGACTGGCAATGGGCTGACTACGATCATCGACTTCTCGTAGGTACGATGCTCAGAGCACGGTGGAGACCCACAGGGCGGCAGTTCCAAACGGGAAGTCACGTGACCACGACCAAGTCAGACAGCCGGGTGTGCCAGACAAGTCACGTGCCATGGCTGATCTGACAGGGCCACGACCTGTTGAGAGCGTTCCGAGCATGACAACGGGGTTGGTGGTTGAATGAGATTCTGGATCTTTCAATCAAACGAGATTCAGTAGAACCCCCACCAGGACCAATTTTGCTGGCGGCGTCTTGGGCCAGTTGACCGGCTCATTTTTGTGGTTTGGGGATGTCGACAGAGCTCCTGACTGCTTCTGGCGGTTCCTAACGGCTTCTAACGGCTCCTGACAGAGTTTCTGGCAACTCCTAGACTCGGGTAGAAGGTGATACCTTTGATAAGAGACAAAGGGGAGAATAGCAAGTGGTTGAGAGAGAGAGAATCGATATCCTCATGTCTGGGTGGAGGATGGAAGACGGCCACAGAGGCCTCAGGGGATCGTAGAGCTTATGCCCTAATTTTCTCCTGCCGGTCTGTAAACAGAATCGATCTGAGACTGACGTTTCTCAATCATGGACTCTGGTTTCTCGATTTCAATAGACTAGGTCGACTTGACGTGGTGCCTCCGACTGGGTAGGCATGGAATGGATCAGGCTGGTTCTCAAACGACTTCCTGTGTCGAGCCGACTTCATGTGTCGGAACTGCTTCTTCCCGATGCCGAGGAACCTCTGCGAGAATGTTTGATCGAATCCGTTTGACCCGACCCGACGAAGTCGATCATACGACGACGATGCCAACTGCCACCGAGAGACAGGATGATCAGACGGACATTTACGCCATCAACACAACCGACAAACCCAGTCTCAATCGATCAACCCGGTCTCTTTTTGATATGAACATAGCTCGATGAGAGCCCCGAGTCAGCAGACTCCAGTAGACTCGCATCAGTCTGACCTTGACAGACCAATGACCCGATCACACACCAGCGAAGACGTTTGAGCTGGCATTTGGTCCACCAGCACAACCACCACCGACGTGATTCTGGTCAACATCGTCTTCTTCGTTCTGAGTACGTGCCTCTCTGTCACGGAAACAGAAGGTGAACCTGTTGTAGTGTGCTGAGTCGAGTCAAACGTGGCCATATTTCTGACAAAAAACGACAGTTTGGAAATCGGAAAAATCGCCTCGATGCACCCCTACCGCCCCTCCCACCGCTAACAAGGCTGAAATCCCAGCAGCCGACCTGCCCCCTACCCCTCCATCTAAGCGACCTTTTCCGGCAGAGGTCCATTCATCCCCTAACTTCTCCCCAGCCAGAAATACCTATCCAACATCAATGTCCCTATCGCCTATTCTCCTGGAGAGATCAG